GGTAGGTATCAGAACTACCTCGAGCACAGTCTCGCCACGGTGTCTGACCACCTCATTTTCAGTGTTTACTAGGGTTGGAGCTACAAGAAGTCAAAGCGCGATGAAGAAAGCTACTAAGGATACGACGCACCATCTAAGTCCACCTCAACGAACGGTCGTAGTCGTGGCCTGCGACTCTTGAAGTTAGCCGTACAGCTAATCCTTCCGGCACTGTAAACGTCACTATACCTAGTCAAGTAAACCCAGAATCCCATGCTACACCTGACGCCTACTTCGACCCCCTAGTTGAACCACCAGGCGGAGACGCCAAAGAGTAGGGCGGAAGCATTTAGAAAAGCCACATAGACATGACAACACTGTCACCAAAAGTGATGCAGCCTTTGAAAGTAACAGCTGCAACAGGTGGGTGCACTGCCGATGCGACAAAGATGTGCAACATCAGTACTGTAGCTTTACCACGCGCCACCAGCGCACGTGGTTTTGGTACGGTTGCTTATAGTGCCATCTGAGACCGCGCCTAGCCTCAGGCTTACTTGGGGTAACCAACAGATCTCCAGTAACCAAAAGCAGGTATCCGTCCAAACCACTATCACACAATAGATTCACTCTCCGGAGGATTTCGGCAATGCCCTAATGAAGGTCAAAAACCTGAGAGGTTCTGAGCCGAGCAAACCACTGCCTACACCAACGGCGACCACATCCACTCCAAGCCCTAGGGCCACACCAGGGACAGCAGCCAGCGGACAACATAGGGAATGGGTCAGGGCGGAGAAAAGAGCTCGAATCATCCGTCAAGATGCACTTACTGGATCCGATAATGTTGGCATCACTGACCGATCTAGCTCTGTCATTCTGTTTAACGTTCCTTTCTGCGATGATAGCCTTCTGGAGCATAATGACAAGCTTGGCAGGCAGCAGTGGAACCCCATTTGTGCCATGCTACGTCTGGGTGCTACTGGGGCAAAATTGTGTCAACTGTACAAAGGCACCCACTCACCAGCAGGAAAGCCTCCGCCGATGAGAGTGACTCTAGGCTCAACTAGAGACGCTGAAAGGTCCCTCTTACTGCCACACAACCTGGTCACCAACAGATCTTCCAACATTAGAGCTAGACCTGGCCGATCATGGGTGTCAAGAAAGACGTCCCAAGAAGCAGCTGGTCCACTCAAACCCAAAACCATAGTCGTACATGGAATACCTGAAATGGTGACCGGTACCCCAGGTGATAAGTACACCCATGACGTCTGACAATGGGAGTGGTTGTTGGCTCGGATGGAGCTGAGTGAGGCTGCAGCTGCGGCAATTGGCAGACTGCCACGCTTCCCACATCCGAGAACCATGAACCCACCTAGACTAATGGCTGTCAACTTCGAATCCCCAGAAGTACTCACCAGAGTACCAGAGACATGGTACAAAGTCAAGAGCACTATAAGCGGTGACGTTCGCTGCTGTGAACGTAGACCAAGAAAACCGTGACAACGACAGACAGCAGTTACTCCCTGTGCTCGGACCACCGTAACCCTAAACAGAAACGTTGAGAGCCAGACCGGCAACCCCCACCCGACACCGAGTGCACCAATCGACCCGAGAAAAACCTAACTGGGCCAGTTCCATTGGAGCAAGCCAGTCAGTAGGGGCCCTCACATCCCAACCTGTGCCATTAGTTAACCTAGAGACATCTCACGTTGCGAGAAGCACCTCCAGGTGTCTTTACAGCAACGTGGGAGGACTCCGAAGTAAATTATCAGAACTACGATCCCTCTGCTTCAACCTTGCCCTGAAAATCATGATCTTGACAGAAACATCGCTATCATCAGACATACATGACACGGAAGTTAACATGTGTGACATGATTTTGTTCAGAGAACATAGGGATGGAGGGGGTCGTAATGTATGTGAGCAGTTGGTTCAGAAGTGAACAGACCACCGACACAACACTGGCACAGCTCCCAGACTCTATCTGGTGTCACTTCACGGTCAAACACACTGAGTAAGTAGTTGGATGAATCTAAAGGTCCCCTATTAACAACTTGGAACACAGCCAAAAAAACTCTAAGTAGTATCCACGGTGCCAATTATGGGGTGCAACCAGATTCTAATAGCTGGCGACTTCAAAGTTTCAACCCTCAGCCTGGAGCATGGTGGCAAGACTCTGGGCTGAGAGTTCGATTGTAACCTGGTAAATGCCATCCAAATGGCTGGACTACAAGAAAAAGTCAGCGACAACACCCGGTGGGGGTCAGATGGTAAACCGTCTAGGCTGGACTACCCACTGACTAGTGATCACCCTCTGGTTGAAACCGTTCGGGTACAAACCCCTTTTGGAAGCAGCGATGATGCTATGGCGGTGTTCAACCTGGTAATCAGTGGACAGTTATCGTGGGAGGGACCCCGCCGTTGTCTCTGTTACAGCAGGTCACGCTACGAAGGTATGAACAAAAGCCTACCAAGGGCTCCGTGGCCAGTGGATTGGTGTTCCTTATCGGTCGACCAGCACTGTGAACTGACAAAATATATCATTAAGGCGTCCGTCTCGCGAACCATCCCCTTAGTGGTAACAACGCCCAGAAAGCGAACGTCGTCGCTAAAGCGGGGCTTCGAGAGCCCTCTAAAAGCCACGAGAACGGCATGGCACGCATCGAGACTCTCCAGAGAACAGGACAGCCATGGCGCATACATAGCTCTATGGAAGTGACATCAGGGTGCGTGGAGGCAGAAGGTCTTTCAAGTACAACCTCGTCAAGAGGCTTGAGGTAAACCCCGAAAATCCTGTGCCGATTCATGGCAACGAAAAAATGACAAGCCAAGAAGCATGCAAAAGTTCCGAACGGAGAAAACCTCTCTGGACAGGAGATCGCCTAAATGTTGAGCACCACATTTGACACAGCTCAACGTATACCAACTGCTCCAACAGCCCCCAACATTACTCAACGCTGCGGAGTTACACGAAATACAGATAAGTCGCGCCGTTGTTCTCGACAGCTATCAAAGCTCAGCGCGGGAAAACTTCCCCTTGGTAGCGACGACATCCGTCCATTTGTGTTGAGATAATGTGCAAGCACCCTGAGTGGCTCATTCTGCAGTCTCTTCAAACACTCTTTGGATGAACAAAAGCTCCCACAAGAGTGGAAACGTGGCATCCTTTCTCCCATCTTCCAAAGAGGAGACAGGCAGAATCTCGACTGCTATAGACCTATAGCACTTCTACTAGTGACATCAAAAGTTATGGGAAGCGTGGCGGACGACAGCACCAGGGAGTATCTGGACAGGAAACAAGGACTCAGTGACGCTCAGCATGGCTTCCGAAAGGGTAGGTCCTGTGCCTCCAACCTCCTGACTGCCCGTGATTACTGGACAGCATGCTGTGATCCCAAAGCCCCGGTCCACGCAGCTTTTCTGCACTTCACCAAAGCCTTTGACACTGTCTCACACACGATCCTAACACATAAGGTAGCTGGGTTAGATATATGCAGCCTGGTGCTGTCATGGCTGCAGAACTACACAGGCAATAGGGGGTTCTGCACAAAAGTCAACGGGGTGTACCCAACTTGGAGAACATCCTCATCCGGTGTCTCACAAGGAGTAATCCTGGGTCCACTGCTATTCCTGCTGTTCGTGTGTAACCTGCCGCTTCATATCAGCTCTCTGATTCTCCCATACGCTGATGATGTCAAGTTATGGAGGGAAATAACTTGCGGAGCGGAGTCGAGTGCTTTACAGAACGGCCTCAAAGCACTAGAGGAATGGGGAACTAATAAGGAACTGGCATTTAACCTGGATAAGTGCCGGTCCATGTTTTCCCGCACTCATGATCCCGGAAAGTATCTTTATATCTCTGTAGTTCACGTCTGTCCCATACCACAGCAGAAAAAGACCTGGGTTCAAGGGTTAGGGAGAAACTGGACACCAGTTCCAATTACCCAGGTGATGCCTCAAAAGCATATGGTGTGTTTCACTTTGTGCGTAGACAACTAGGTGTCCTCACACCAGAGCCATTTCTGAAGCTCTACAAGACTTACACATGACTCCACTTAGGGGTCCATAACGTCTTCGCTCCACCACAACTGAAAAGTGGCACTAACGTACTAGAGAAAGTCGAGAGGCGAGCCACAGAGGGGGTTGTTGGAATGCAACTAAAACCATATGAGGGTAGACTGAAAGACCTAAGCCCATAATCTCTTAGCTACCGAAAGTTACGAGGTGACTTGATAGTGGCTTACAAAATGCCGAATAACCCGAATTCTATGAACAGCAGAATACTACTGAGTGGCCATTATGGAGGTCCCCGAGGAAACCCTAAGAGAATTTTCTGCCAAAGGTCAAAAACTCAGGTGCCTTCACACTACTTCTCCTTCCAAGTCTGCGGGTACTGGAAAGCACTACCAACAGAAGTGGTCTCCGTCCCAACTATTGAAAGCTTCAAGAAGAGGTTAGACAGTCACGTAGAGAGCCACGGTCTACCCACATACAGCTGGAACACGAACTGGACAGAAGAAATCAACTGATGTCAAGCCACCCCACCTACTTCAACCCTGCAACCAGTTTTCTTTCTATAGTAACCGTTTAATTTTTTTTCATCCCTTCCACTTGCCATGAGTTAGCCTCACTTACCTAAGTTCTTCATATCTTTGCAGCCCTCCTCGCCTTACTTGGGTATAAGTAAATTATTCCATTAGTTCACTTTTCTTTTCCCGTTTTACTTAAACAGATCCACCTTTCCAGGTTTTATCTTCACTGCCCCCAACCCTCTCTAGCGACCAGTCCGAACAACTGTCTGGCAACTCGACATCTGAAGAAGCCAACAGCACCACAGTCTGAGGCAAACACACCAACACTTAACTTCCTGTTCTGTAAATCAGAGCTATAGCAGGCGAGTGGCTGGATCTACTGCATCGGAATCCCCCAAAGACCTCGAACCATTCTGCAAGACCAAGAAGGGAGCAAGAAGAAATCAACTTTTTACACAAGCTCGTTAAGAAGATATTGGATATTGGAAGGCGGTTGATGTCAATTTTGTTGTCTACAAGGTCACCAGTTCTGAAGAAAGTATCGACAGTCGGTTTTCACTGCTTGTGTTTCATGACTGATTCAGTCAACATTTTTGTCAGGTAATCAGATAGGTCAGGGGGACTAATTGCCTTTTTTATGTTAGGTTAGCTCTATATTTGTACTATAACACTAGTTGTGTCCTACCGCTTGATTTAGCCTCTATTTTTTTGTAGTTTGACTCGCACTTTGTCCCTTTGTCTTCAGTTTCGCTTTCGTTTTCTGCATTTTAAACCCGGTACAATGGGGCTCTTTGCCCTTTCAGTCACACCCCGTCAACATTTTCGTAGGACCAAATAAGGCTACTCACTATAGAAAGCGTCAGGCCAAATGTGGGGCCAGGCGTAGGCTTTTGCAACATTTTCTTACACCTGACTCAATGATTTTTGACCCGGCATTTGCTCCTATGTTTGGGACACTTAGCCCTACGTCTAGCCCTAAGTTTTTACAAATGGCTCGACCTCTGTAGCCACATGCTCATTATTGGCCCTTTAAGCAGCCCTAGTGGCTCTGCGTTTTTCTCGGCCAACATTTGACGCCATCCCGGTCTGGTGATAGTGGGAAAATGAAGGGGAAAATAAAAAAACAAGGGGAAACAGTATGTAGTAATCTGGAGTTTTTATTAAAATTGGCTGAATTGAAGGGAAAAAATGAGATATCAAGGGTAAAAAGTAGATTTTTAGGTTCATCTAGGAAGGCGACTTCAAGGGTGAAAAGGAGATAATCGAGGGAAAAAGACGTAAAGAGGGGGAGATAGTTGCATTTCCCATGGTTTTCACTTCATTCCCCTTATGTACCCTCTATTCTCCTCGTTTTGGTCTCTATGGAATGTGGACTACATCTGGCCCAACGTCACATTCATGGCCCAACGTTTTCATAAACTAACATCGAGAAGAAATTTTGGGCGTCTTTACTTTTCCCAACTTCGGGCGCATGTCTTTAGTTTTCTTTAATACGGGGAAAACTTCGGGTGCACATTGGTACTTTTGACAATTTCAGGAAGAAACCTGGTCTCCTTAGGATACAGGTCATCCGGATTATGGATATGTTTTAGTTTAGACATCCAGTTAGAGTGAAAACAAACTTCTGTTTCGCTTTCAAGCAAGCAAGACATTTGTTAGCGGCCGTTTGAGAAGAAAAACAATCATTTTTATTTTTTGAATTGGTTAAAACAAGATGCTAGAAATCTGGCCGTCCTGTTTCTACAAGTCAAATGAGGAAAAGAAGTTGTAAGTACACTAATGAGACTTCTCACCCCGATTGAATGTCGAATTTAAACTTTCCACACCCTACGGTAACGTAGACCATTGAGCAGTCCCATTTTGTGTGCGGCATTGGTAGCATACCAGTGTTAAGGTATCAATGCAGATATATTTGGTATCAAAACAATCAACTGGAATTCTATCCGTTTATGGTGGCCATCGTTAAGTCTCATAAGTTTATGTGCCAGAAGAGTCAAATTGTGTCAAATAATGCCTTAGGGTTCTGGTAGTAACGTACTATCAGTATTCCATCTTCCGAAATTTTTGCAATCACTGGTTTTTGTTTAAAAGCGACGAGATTGTCGGGAAATATGGTAAGTTCCTTTATTGGTGCATATGTGTTGATAAAGCTCAACCGTGTCCTTTGAGAAGCATATGCTGGGCTTGTTTCCAAAGGCCTCCAACCCTCATGTGAGGAATTCGTGTATCGCATAATGATGATGGTCATTTTGTTGTCACAGTGACAAGGAAATTTGAAAGTACATGCCTCCGCAATATATTGTGATCGCTGTCTAGATGGGTGTAGTTTAGACTTGACCAACTGCAATAGATTAATAACCTACTCAATACTGTGCAGTTTCTACCTAGTTGGCATGTTCATTTACTGAAATTTATTTTGAAAGTAAGTATATATATGTTGAAACTTAACTTAGACTTGTTTGTTTTCTCGGAACTGAATACATGTACTGCATCGTTTCTTCAACCACGGTTCTTCAAGGTATTCCATTCATCATCATCATTATCAGCATAGGACCAGGCATTACTGCGTAACGGTCCGAGTTGCCACAAAGGTATTCCAAAGGTATTCCATTATGATCTAACAATCAAAGGTAATCCACGAAATGTCCATTATGCAGCATTTTATGTTTGTACTTCCTTGATCCTACTTTCGATGTGTAGTTGGTGTAAAAGATTCGTGGCTGACAGTTAGTTCGGTGTCCCAATCTGCATGCATATGCTGGACCCCACATTGAAGTTGGCCCTGCGTTATACTTCACACTCCCCGACGCTTCCCTGAAAAAGTGCTAAGTGGACGGCAACGCAGGGGGATGGTATATGTCAAAAGGTGGGGTTTAAATGAGCTAACTGGAGTGATCAGAATTGGCTATAATTTGGAGTCCAATCGTCAACTCTCCTCTGACTTCATCAAAGGCTTTTCGTTTCTACTTGCCCCCCTGCTTACCTTCAAAAAATACTTCTGGGAATTCATGACTTTCCATGCGTCTTTTTTTCTCTACCGTGAGACATGAATCTAGTTTGGTCCCAGATTTCACACGTTGTTTGAAGCAGGTGTTTATTCATATAAATATCCATAATGCCGATCCTAGTTATTTACATGTTTATAGACCGGTTTGTAAGTATATTTTTCAGTCATGAAACTATCCATATTTTGCGCAGGAAGTTTTAAAGAAACGAATATGCTATAATTGGCGGTTGGAAAGCGAGGGTAAAACTGCATTACCATCCATACCTTGTGGTAGCACATATTTCAGGCTCTGGATGTCAAATAAAGTATTAAGTTCGGTGCTGAATGAAGCTTTTTGATGTTTTTTCCTAAATGTTTTCGAATAGGTTTTCTTCTAGGCATTTACATCGACTAAATTAAACGTATCACCAACAGTTCTGGTTTTCCATTCATCTGAGTAGAGTTTGTTTACATTATCATTATTATTATTAATTGTTAGAAACCAGTTACATATAGACTGTAGGATCCAAAATAGAGGAATGGCGTACAAACTTACTTCGTTCACTGGCAACTGTGGATAGCAGTATTTGACATATCACCTACCTTGTGGATCAAACTTCAGGTAAAAGGTATAGAGAGCAGTCCCCTGCGACAGCCATGTGCTTCAATCTTGGCGTTTGGGAAGTATTACGGCTTTCATACAAATCATAGAACAACATTTAGAATAAAGAACTCAAAGTGCTTATTAAATATTTTAAGGAACCGAATTCATTGTGTTTTGAACTTTTTACTCAGTTACCCAGTTTAGTGTTACTTTATTATTTTCACTACTTTTACCCATAGACTGTATTATTTTGTCGTTATTTTCAAATGTCTTCATGTATATCTTTGTTTTATTCACATGCTTGTCTTCAATTGGGATTCTGCTCCATCTGCACTGTTTTGAGCCGCTAGATAGTTGCTTTCGTAAAGTCATCCTTCATTGGTCTGTCTTTTTCGCAGATGCCCGGAACACTGGTGGAGCACTTCGAAAACCAATCTAGCTGGCCTACTTTTCCCGTAGAATCGATTTATTGACTTGTGCTGACTCATCTAAAAAAGCAGAGGTCTATAAATCGCCACGAGGCATCTGATTCAGACAACTTTCCCCGGTTCGTTTTAAGAACGGAAGAGAGAGAGTTTACCCAAAGGAATGACTAGATTATTAGGGGTATCATTTTCAATGACCACGTTTTTTCTTATTTGTTTATGATTCACTTTATTGCCTTGTACATGGTTTGATTTGTCGCGAATTGGACCGTTTAGCAATGTTCACATTGATTGACCGACCAGCAGTGTCTAAAATATCGTCTGGTATAGTATTTTTCGGGTTCTTTAGAACGCGTGAAAAACTGGTTCATGAAGGGCAGACCGAGTTTTCTTCAGGTCATGAATGCTTTGTTCACATGTTCAATCTCCGTTAGATGGTTACGCACGGCATGACAATCGTTGTATTTATTGATGTTAAGGCTGCTTTTGATTCGTTAAGCAGGTCTGCACTCTGGATTTTTCTTTTAGAGAGTAGTCTACCAGAAAAATTTTGTAAACACCATGAAGACCCTATACAAAATCACCTTAAGTAGAGTGAAGGAGTGCAACCGCGATTCTCTATTGCTCTAAAACCAGTTACGTTAAGCAAGGCAACTTGATTTTACCGTTCTTCTTTAACTTGTAATTAAGGCAGCTGTGACGGTGTGTTGTGTTGGAGATCTGCTACCATGAGAAAGACTTACAAAACTAGAATATGCAAAGGATATCGTTTCTCTGTCAGACAACATGCAGGTTACTCAAATCACAATTAATTAGTTAACTACCAGTTTCCGTAAGTATGACATATGCTTCTCGCTGTCAAAGTGGAAATTGCTTCTACTAGATTGTCAGGAACATATGAATACTTTGACTCTTGGTGATAAACCATTGGAAGATTTTGAAAACGTTGTGTACTTGTGGTGAGTTGTGTGAGTACTGCTGGAAGTATGAGTGATAAGATTTCCAATCATATATCAAAAGCCATAGTGGTATACACCAATCTGAGTCACCTTTGGCATCGTCGTGACGTCCTTGCTGTGAATGTTTGTGTTTACTACACACCAGAGTGAGCAGCTCTGGTTTATGCCTATAAAACCTGGTCTTTTTTAGCTGAGGATGTTCGACAACTGTGTTCAGCCGCCTCTATTTCAGTAGAATTTTCGATATGTGAGGAAAACAATGAAAGTAATTCCGAGGTGATGTAGACAATTCCTTGGGCGACGACATCCAGAAACACCGACTTCAGTAGCGTGGATGTGTGTTGCAAATGCCATTCTCAGTGGTCCCCATACAGCTGTCTATTTGTTAGCCCTGGGACTGATTGAATAAAGTAGAGGCCATCAGTAAGTGGCACAGTACTGTAGGATGAAGAATAGTATCTATTGGTGCCTCACCACGTCATGGGGTTAGTAGCTTTAGGCAGCATTGGATGGGGTTCAAATTCAGAACCAGTGACAGCTATACTACAGATTTCTTGTTATCTTAAAGTAAAGAAGTCGTAATAAAATTTTCAAATTTGTTGGAACCACCTACCTAATAAACCATTTCCAATGACCGATAGAATTCGGTCAGCATTCAGGACTAGAGAACATGAGATTGGTTGCTCTATAGTGGTCAGTATACGGATGTAATGCAGTCGTACGGGAGGTCAGTCGCCATCCGAATAGCTCAATGGTAACGCTGCTGACTGCAACATTGATTGATGGTGATTAGAATCCCACAAAGGACACCAAGCCCTCAATGTTGCTGACACACCTTCCTTATGAGTGGCGGAAAGCGCAAAACCTAGGTCCAGTGCTTCCTGTCGACCGCTTCCAGTCAACTATAAGCCATTTCCATCTTTGCTGTCCTTTTCTAGTGCACTCTATGTCATTTTTATGTTTTTCTTGATGTTATTACACTATTTTGCTTGGCGCCATTACTGTAGCAAGTTTCTGTTTAAAATAAAATAAATACAACTGAAAAGTTCTACTATCCTTTCCGTGTCGACTACGATCCAGTCTATTAATGCAGCTGAAGTGATCCCCGGCGATTTGCTCAGATGAGGACTGAAATACTTATTTTCCAGTTCTAAATGATGTACAGCGTCAAATAATATCCACTTGTTTATCTGTTTACTTTTAGTGAATGATGCTTTACTGGTAACGCGACAGAGCATACTAAAACTGAGTTGGTGTTTGTTTACCATATTTAATATGCGAATGAATGATTTTCTTCAAGAGCATGTTCAAACCGTTTCTGGGAGTATTCTAGAGCTTATTCAAGAAGGACTGTTTTCAAATGTAACCGTCGTTATCAGTGATTATGAGTTCAAATCCAACCGTCTTCTTTTGGCCAGTTCAAGTGATTACTTCAGAGCATTGTTCAGTTTTCAGCAAAAGTCAGTTGAAGAACCTCGATTAGAAATCAAGTGTGACCATGTATCCCATATTGGTATCAGTCATGTCATGTTGTTCATCAATTCAATCGGTCAAATTCATGATTCGATCCCTGCTGAAGACTATCAAGATGTCTACATTGCATCAAGTTTTCTACAAGTACATTGCCTTCAAAAGATGATGAGCTCCCGTTTGGAAGGAACTCTTTGTATCGACAACGTGCTCAGTGAGTTATATCCACCATATTTTATCGCAGTTATTAATTTGGTGTTTCACTTCGAACTTTCTTTTTCTGAATCTAGATGCATGGTTGGCAGGAGAGATGGAATACCATCCATTGAGCTTGACGTTTTCATCTAAGATGAAAAGCTTGATTAAAACCATGCTACACTTTCTGATTGGACGAACTCATCTTTCTTTATTTGTGTTTGTAAGCTCACTAGTGGGTTGGGTATACCACGTTACTGTGACCAAAGGTGTTAGTTTGTGGACCATACAGTTATTTTTCACAATACATAACTTTCCAATCATTGGTTTTTCTGCGAAAGCCCACGCTCGTACACTGGCTCAGATCAATGATCGTTGTATGGACGCTGTTAGCCTTTTTACAGCTTAGTTTAACTTCATCTAAAATATCACACTGAAGCAAATGGTCGATTGAAATTGATAGTACATTTCACAACAACCTTAGTCAGTGAAAGCTTATAACCTCCTCAGGCGGTTTATTTCTTTTGCCTAACGCCTTACATCTGATTTCTGCATTGCCGATCCTGTGATTTCGCGAAACGCTGCCGAAGCTATAGAAGTAGTAATAGTTAAACAATTGCAAGTTTCTTATTTCCACCTTTATTTTATTATCATACTTGACCACCATACAGTAGAACAGTGGGAACTACATCACAGAGCACTCAACGTTTTATAAACGTTTAATTATTTCACTAGCACTGTAAGTTGTGCCAATTAACAAAATGCCAATCAAACATTTTGTATCCGGTCACCGACCCAGCAGGATTGACTTAAATTCGCGGGTAAGTAAAGCAATAAATGCATTCAGTCACTTCACTGCTTATTATCAGGTGAAGTATCAATGCAGACAGGTCTGGAGGAAATAATTCACAGTGGCACAGTTGCCTCATCCCCATTGTTATGTCACGTTTCTTTATTTGTTTATCCCCTTTTCTTCTCTGATAACTTTTGACTTCTTTTGGTTACAATTTTCTATTTCTGCCTTGATGTCACAATGTCATGTGTAATTTATTTGGAACATTTGGGAATATTTGCAGGTCCCATGTTAATATTGACTGATTTTTAAAAGCTGCATGTAGTAAATGAGAAACGCGTGCCAAACATTTTCATATTATCAGTCAGTATCCAGAAGGCTCTGGATGTTATCGTTAGTATCACTCAACGGGAATGTTTCTTATACGTACTCCAAGTCTTCAAGGAAATCTCTCAAAAGATTAATTTCTGCAAACATATTAGAGAATTGGGCCACAAGTTTATCCATGACAGTCAAATGAAAGTAGAGGGTAGTGACTATTCTTAATGGATATCACATGACATTAGTAGAGTCTGATAACTCACTGCATGTGCTTTCGAGTATGGAACCTTCAATAAGTTTGATATACTTTCTCAGGATGCTCTTCAATGAGGAAGACTGACACCAGACTTTTCATCAGCGTGGTCAAATGACGCGTTCAGGTCAGGAAACGCAGCTATTATGAAATACTGGCATTTGTTAACATTTTGTAGAATTTAGTTGAAGGAAAGATCTAGTCGGTACACCTATTACTCGTTCTGAAATGTGCTTGGCTTTCTTGTGTTTGATTTCCTGGAGCCTAAGTTGGTCGTCTGATGGCTTTAAAACCTAAAATCTTATTCACTATGTTGGTATAACCAACTCCTTTTTTGGTTATGACAAGAGGAATTTCCTACTTCCCTGAAGAGTTGAGCAGTTAATGACCACGATCATTAAAGGGAAATTTCGACAGCGTAATTAGAAGACGAAGTTTATCTGAGCAATGTGGTGTATTTGCGCAATACATTTCGAACAATCTGATCACACATTTACTTATCAAGTCAATATATATTAAACCGAGGACTGCGAGGGGGGATAAATACAACAATTAACACAATAGGGGATTAAGATTAAGAAAGATGAGGACAAATAGGAAGTGACATAGTTGGTCCTAATCTTGGTAAGAAAACAAAGTTTACCAAGGTAGGTGTAGTGTAATAACAAACTGTTTTTGTACACACAAAGGTGGTTTAAATTTGTGTATGGCTATGGCTTCCGCAAATCTCAGAATACGTCCCTGACTGTTTCTATATAAGACTTTGAAAGCTGTTTGAACATTAACTTTGTGACCTGTTTCTATGATATGTTTGGCTATAGATGAAGAGGGTCGTCTCCCACCAACGTTTATCACTGTTCCACACTCCATTTGTTTTTGAAGCCATTTCGGCATATGTTCTCCCACCCTCAACTGGATTGTGGAACAGTGATAAACGTTGGTGGGAGACGACCCTCTTCATCTATAGCCAAACATATCATAGAAACAGGTCACAAAGTTAATGTTCAAACAGCTTTCAAAGTCTTATATAGAAACAGTCAGGGACGTATTCTGAGATTTGCGGAAGCCATAGCCATACACAAATTTAAACCACCTTTGTGTGTACAAAAACAGTTTGTTATTACACTACACCTACCTTGGTAAACTTTGTTTTCTTACCAAGATTAGGACCAACTATGTCACTTCCTATTTGTCCTCATCTTTCTTAATCTTAATCCCCTATTGTGTTAATTGTTGTATTTATCCCCCCTCGCAGTCCTCGGTTTAATATATATTGACTTGACAAGTAAATGTGTGATCAGATTGTTCGAAATGTATTGCGCAAATACATCACATTGCTCAGATAAACTTCGTCTTTTAATTACGCTATCGAAATTCATAAAAGGGACTAACTGTTTCAAATTAAAGGGAAATTGTCTGAATTCCATATTAGGTTTGTTTATCTGGGATACATAAACCTCAGGATCAAAATTTGACCTAATAGAGTTCGGTGAATCGATTATAAACGAAATATATTTGTAAAATCCCAGTGAAGTAGAGAAATAAATTTTGGACGTTTCGGGACTTCGTAGAAATCACTTCTTCAGAGAATAAAACTGTACAAGTTTTTGAATGTTTAAGTAATAAGTGGTGACGAATCAAATCACATTGTTTATACATGATAATAATATGGGGATAAATATCGTTGTTAAGTTGGTCAGAATGCGTTCAAACTCGTCTTTGTTATCCATGATTAGTCTGGAGTTCAAGGCGATGTGAATATATGCACATGTGACTGGATGTGAATATGTAAGAGAAATATGGATTACAAATCCGGTTTTTTTTTGTATGTATGCACTTTTGTTCTGATCATTGTATGTGACGTGCTGTTTTTGGATATTCTGTCCAGGTTGCTTGTGTAGTTAAGCTTTCATTTCTGTTAAGTGCATTATGTATAGGTGTTGCATCATTTCTATTACATGTGTTGAATGTTGATTTGATGAACAAAGATTCGGTAATCAATCTGTCTCTCCACCTAAATATATTTAACTTACAGTCGTTTTATTTCACCCTAGTATGTGGTTGTGTCTTAATGCATGCATTGCCACAGCTGAGTTGTTTTCTGCTACGATTATTTATTTATTGATATTTTATTTATCCTTTGGGTTCCCAGTGGGACATACGGCTTCAATAGCACGTTTCCATTGCACTCTGTTCTCTGCAGTCTTTTTAACCTGGCTCCACGACTGCCCACAGGCTTTCACTTCTTCTTCACACGATCTTCTCGATGTCACCCTCGGACGCCCAATTCGTCGTTTCCCCTTTGGATTCCACTCGAGGGCCTGGCACGTGATGTCTCCGAATGGTCTCAGTGTGTGCCCAATCCAATCCATCTCTACTTTCTTCTGCATATTCGTTGGACGATAAGTTGTTGGTTGGTTCGTTGCCAGAGTGAGTTACTTGTTACTTATTCTAAGTAGTCTGGCCATCTAATCTTCAGTAACGAGTCAGCGTAGGCAGCTGTTGATGAATGTCTGTAGTTTGTTGTAAATGCTTTTCGTCACCCGCCAAGTTTTTAAACCATATAGAAGCACTGACTTGACGTCGGTGTTGAAAATCCGGATCTTGTTAACGCTTTATGCTGAGTAGAGTGCAGTGGATCTCCACACTGGTTTCAGGTTAATGAAAGCCTGTCTTGCTGTCTTTCTGATCCTGGCTTTGATGTCCTCATCTGTGCCTGTGCCGCCTGCATTTGAAACGGTGCTGCCTAGGTAGGTGGAGGAGACAACTTCCTTTAGGTTTCTCCCATTGATGGTGATTGATGCTTTTTGTTGATGTTGTTGTTGGTTGGGTATCTTCATCACCTCTGTCTTCTCTACGTTCACCTGAAGGAAGTCCCGTCTTCGCTGCCCTGCCTCTTCTGTCAACTTGTTAGTTTTCGCCTGTGGATCTTCAAGTTTGTGCGACATTAGACATAAATCATAAATCCAAATCTTCTAAGGTCTTTTCATCAGTCTAGCCAGGGTACGCCCGTTTTCTCGCTCATCACAGTTTGTTGCATGGTCCAGTCCAGTGGAGTCGACCACAATCAGGAATATCATGGGTGGTAGTAGGAGGCAGCCTTGTCTTACTCCTGTCTTCACTTCAAAGGTGTCACTCAGCTTTCCATTGTGGATCACTTGGCAATTGGTCTTCATAAAGCTGTTGAATGAGGTTGATAAAGATTTGTGGCACTGAAACCGTAGTATTGAAGCAGCAGCTGCCAAATTACTTATCAGTCGACCATGTCGAAGGCTTTTTCAAAGTCGATAAAGTTGAGGTAGAGTTGACTGCCACTTTATGCTCTCTTGTATGATGATGCGTAGTGTACCGTTGCAATTTGATCCGCACATGATTTATTCTTCCTGAAGCCAGATAGGCTGTTCCGGTCGTAATTTTGAATCCAGCGCATCCAGGATGATGTGGCATAATATTTTACTGGCTTGGGGTGGACAGGGACAGGAGCATGATTGGGCGTCAGTTCTTGCAAAGACTTAGCTTAGGTCTCCCTTCTTTGGGAGTTTGAAAAGGTGACCCTTCCACTCAGCAGGTATCTTTCCTTCCTTCCAAACCTTCTGCAGTAGTGGTGTCAGCATGTCCACTGTTGTCTCTGCGTCTGTTTTCAGTGCTTGTGGAGGAATCCCATCTAGTCCTGCTGCTTTTCTGCATCTCAATAGCTTTATGGCGTTCAGGAATTTGACTTTAGTTGGAGGATATATGTTCACTTGTAGTTCTGTGGCTGGGCTGCAGGTGGTATTTCTGGAAGAAGTGCAGGTGGTGGTCGACTCAAGAGCTTTTTGAAGTGGTCGGCCCATCGTTTCCTTTGTTTCTCCTCTCTCTTCAGTAACTAGGTTTCCTTCACTACCTTTCATTGTTTTCGTCTGCGTTGATCTCTCTCCTCCCAGATAGTAACCTGGTTATTTGATATAGTGTTGTCAGGTCTCTATCTCTTGTATCTGCAGCCTGTTCTGCTTCACTTGCCAGTGTTTCGTAGGAGTGTCTTCTGTCTTTGTGTGCACTCTTCTTCACTTCTTTGTCCAGTGTAGTGTTTTATACGTTGTACTCACTTCCTCTTCTCGTCGTTGTGCATCCTTGCACTGGTTCATCTTCTACTTCACCTTCTTCCTCTCCCTGCTGTCTCAGCTTCCATGTGTCCGTCGAGATCCATTCCTTGTCTCGTCGCTTCTTCTTCCCTTCCTAATACGGTTATGCAGGTTTCTTTCCACATCTCCTTCAAAGAGTTCCAATGTTCTTCTACGCGGGTTCCTTCAGGAATGTTGGTCAATGTCTCCAATTTTTTCCTGATGACTGGCTGACGTTAAGATGTCCTTTGTAGTTTCGTCCTTCAGTTCCCGAGTGTTGAACTTGAACTGTGGTCTATCACCAACTTCTTTGAAGGCTTTCAACTTAATTTTGAAGGTGGGTTCCTTGCACTAGATAGTGGTGTGAACCTACATCTGCTCCCCTTCTTGACCTTGTGTCAAGTAGACTGCGTCCCCACTTTCTTCAGATTGAGATAAAGTCGATCTGATTTTAAGTGTGTCTGGTATCTGGTGAAATCAACTGCATGTAGCTTTGTGGATATCCTTGTGCTTGAACACACTGCCTGACTCCAATCACCAAATCGTTGAATGCGCAGAAATCTTCAAACAGTTCTCCATTCTCGTTCATCACCTCACCGAACGCTTCTCGACCCATGGTTAGTTCTCTTCCTGTGTTTTCTGCTCCCAGTTTGGCATTCATGTCGCCCCACCCATTAGAATTTTGATATCGCCAACTTGAGTGGTGTCTTGTCCAGTGTTGATTGCAGTTGTCTGTAGAATTCCTCCCTCTTCTCTTGATCTGCATTATTTATTGGCGCTTGGTGTAGCATTGTATGATTATGAATTCCCTTCCTTTTGATTTGAATCTTATTATCATGATCCAGATGCTGGAGGAGATTGATTCTCACTGCATGAGAGCCTTTGATGCTCTTGAAGACACCATGATAGCCACTCGAAAACTCAGTGTGCTGGTGGTTGTCGTCTGGGTGACAATATCGGAGTAGATTATCGACTCTGAAGTTGACAGTTTTGAGAGTCCACTTCCATTTCATCTGCTTTCGCAGATTCCAAGCACTTCCATGCCAAATCTCCTCATGTATTTCGCAATCTGAAGAACCTTGCTAGGTTCATACATGGTGTGGACATTCCATGTCCCCACGTTTACTTCCGCTTTCATCGAGAGAGAGAGAAAGACACATCGGCAGATTGGCTTCCCGAAGACTTTCACCAACTGGCGTCATTTCGCCTCTCAGATTCCAGCGAGGAATAAGTTTGTTTTTGTCTTACATTTTCTTTATGCTTTGAAGTTTGTTTCGTGATTGGATTTGTTTTCCGGGGTAGTGTTGCTAGGCGTATGTCCAACCTTCCCACTTTATCCGGGCTTACGATTGGCTAGTAACTAGTGAACTAGTCAACCGGGCAAGGTTGCTACGATTCTAATGGAAATATTTATGGTTAGTTAGCAACACACAGCTTTAGAAACTTTTAATCCTTCACCTAAGATATGTTGGCGATGTGTGGATGATATATTTTCTGAATTGAAATTGGAAAATATCGACAGTTTCTTGACACATGAAGTCAGGAATACAGTTTACTTACGTGGTAGAAAATAAACAAGGGAAACAAACACATCGCGATAGGCATCTGGACTTCAGGCCATCTTATCCAGCATCGTAATTGAAGCATATAAAAAATAATCATTATCCACTAGTGTTTATTAATGAGTTCACAAGAAGACACAAGAAAGTTATAACAGTAATACGAATATGAATAATAGTGACAACATAGGTAGAAAGGAGTTCAAAGGCTCCATTGTTTTACCCTCTGAGGAAAGAACATCAGAAACTTCACGTGAAATTCTCAACAAGACTAGAATTAGGGTGGTACTCAAACTTAAAACTCGCACATAGATCAACATTGTCGGTGTGAGAATCCAATAGATCCAATTCAACAAATTTCATGTAGTTACTGTAAGGTCAAGTACACAGGTCAAAATAACCGATCAGGGTCAGTTAGATTATCGGAACATAGGAATTTAGCCAAATGTAGAATAACGGACCCCAATAAGATCAATAATCTAGAAAAAAACTCGTCTATTGCACTGTATGGATTAAGACACAACCACACAATAGGGTGGGATAAAAACGATTGTACTTAAGTTCAATATATTTAGGTAGAGAGACAGATTGTTACCAAATCTTTGTTCATCAAATCAACTCTCAACACACGCAATAGAAATGACGTAACATCTGTGCCAGAGGTGTTGAAAGTTTTACAACTACTAAAAATAAGGAATATGAATTGATGGGACTATAAAATCCTATGTCGAAAGCTGTATGATTACTTCGATATGGTTATGAGCAATAATTTATGCTCGAAGTGTCATCAATTAAATAATAATGTATCACTGTGTGATGTCAAATAAATAAATCTAATATGGAATTCTCTTCTACCACAGTGCCCAAGTTTTACACGTATTAATCGTCAAAATCTCATTGCATCGAATTACAGCTATTATGGGATGGCTAATAATGATAATTGGTGACCTAGAGCTTAGTAGGTGGAGTGGGGTTCAAACTCATGACCTACTGGTTAAAGGTCACGATTAGGCCGATAAACCACATGTCTCACATCGTAGTTAATACTTTAACTAGTAATCTCTGGCTTTCATCATTAAATGGCTGTAGTTCTAACCCATTAAGGTTAGGAAATGTGGTCTATCAGCTTAAGTACTCTACTTTCAAGTAGTATCTTTGGTTTGAACGCCGTTGCACCTGCTTCAGCTTGAGCAACCGAGTAGTATCATAAGCTCTCATATAAGCGTGACCGATAACCTTATATACAAGTAATTACTGAATTGAGTTGCAAGCATAAAAAAACCTGGCTCATCAGGGTCAGGTCATGGAATGGTGCTGTATGATAAAGGATGTTTTTGTTGGGTTGACATTTGTTAGCTCATCACGGCTATCCTTATATACAGTCTAAACAGTTATGCAACCCACTGGGAAAATGTTCACTTAGCAATCGCATACATGTTCGTGGAGTAGGCAAAGAGGACTAATGATAACCTCTGACTGTCCATATCTCATTAGATGAAGCAGCAATTGAACCTGTCGTGATTGAAATTCTGATGCCTAGACCATGTGACCATAGCTCCACTATACGACATAGTGACTTGAAATGCTTTTAAGTATCATTGAGTCAAATCAGCGATTACCACTTTATGCCTGTATTATTTCCTATTACTAAAAAGTAAAGCAAGATAAGTAACTGCTTTTTGAATGTTGCGTTTTTGTTATGGGTGGCTAAACATAGACGTGATAACATTAAACGAGTTTTTCTGCTGTTCACCTGATCCATATAGAAAGGGGAAGGCTGCTTATCTGATATCATCGAGATGCTAAGAATAGGTAGTTAGAGACTATTGGTGATATGAATCGGTCACAGTGACACTTATCACTTTCAATGTCCTGAACATTTTCTCTTGTCTTCATTGATTTATTTTGTCTTCTCTGATATACTTTTGTCTGCTTTAATATCATTTTTCTCTCCACTTCTGTACATGTTGCTGCAAAGTGTGGCGACTTGAACTGGTGCACTTCTGTGACATTTTCTGCGTTGATATGTGTTTTTCTTCATCTAAATCATAATGTCATATATCTTTACTCTCTTCACTTCATTTTATCTTTGTCTCGAGGCTGTTCATGAAAGCTGATAACATTATTTTCATTGCAGTGTCTTTTCGTAATTATCACCTTGATGGGAAGTGTGAGGACTTAGACAGTTACGTAATAATGTCAGATCCTATGTTGGTATATCGAGGTTGTCCTTCTTAAGTGGTTAAGTACTTTATCTAATCTTATTTAGTGAGCTACTTGAACATCTATGGGCTACCTGCTGACTAAATTTTCAACAGAAATACAAACAGTTGTTTGGTTTTTTTTAACTATTTCACTTGTGGCATCGGGAAGATATCCAAAAACCTACTAAGATAAAATTTCCCTATCTGCCCGGACTCTAGGTTCCTCGTTTTTATGTCATAAAAGCTTTCTTAACACCTGATTTAAACAAATTCCGTGTTAGGATAAATCTGGTTTATACAACCTAATCAACAGCCCTACCTAAGACAGTGCAGATGGTTCTGATAGAGATTCAAACACTAACCTGAAGTTGTTCACTGAACATGATCACGTCTAAAGTGCTATACCTATTTAAAATGAATCTCATTTTCTTCTGTCAACTTACTGATGGTTTTGAATAACATCTGCATATGTGCATGTGTCATCATCAAATTCGATATTTATTATGGTTCTTTTTGATAGAGATCATGAATTTGGCTCATTGGTTCGATGATGATCGGTTGTTCAGAAAAGCTATGCTGTTCCTTTGGCACGAATTCCAACTCATTGATTATTTCTCAAGTGATTTCGTCAACTTAAATACAAAACAAATCACAAATATATTTCAAAGTGATCAGATCAATATATCTCAGGAGCGTGTAGCTTTAGAGGCAATACTTGTATGGCTTTGTCATGATGTAAAAAATCGGATGGATTTTTTCAAGAACAATTTTCTTCGTCTTGTAAGATTACCTCTGGTGAGTTGTTCACTTCTATTTTAGCAGTCTGGTAATGAGTATTGATAGTGATTAGTGTACCGTAAAAGGTTTGAATTGCTCTAGATACACAAGGTACGGAGTTAATATAAAACCGATAAACAACAGTGGTTGAAGTACATGTTATCATGCTCTGTGTGTGTGTGTGTATGTTTCATTTTTTTAATGTGTTGGGACCTATCATCCAGTAGAGGATATACTCAGTGACTGGCAATGCACAGTTGTGTTCTGCGTTGAAACATGAACCGCGGTTTGTACAAAATGAGGGTTTACGTTTTCAATATAGTGGAACTCACCAACAATATGAAGGTTTTTGTTTTAAACTAGGAAACTTGCACATTTTATGAGGGTGCATAGAGCCAGCAGGTTGAAGAAGTTAGGTTAGGATTAGGTTCAAACTCGTTACATATTTTCTGATAGTCAGGTACCTCGACTGTTGAATTGTAGTTACCTGATGCCTAAGAAGTCACATGCGTCAGTGAAACGGATGCCCATTGATGACACTGAATTATGGTCACGCTATAGTGCATATATTCATTTGTGTTGTGTGACTTTTAAAACTTTGATTCCTGTATTGTTTGTAATTAATAAATTTCAACATTAATTATTGTTCGATAACTTATGCGAATGTATAACACAAAATGTGCCGTTTATCTCAACGTAAGGGTGATGATTAATTCTCTGCTCTCAAGTTTTGCCGATTTAGAGTAGTATAGGTTTTCTAATATAATTCACTAAACATAGGTGACACTTAATAGATTGATAATTCGCTTTTGTCTTACATTAACAGAAAGCTGGAGATTTCAGCCAGCGCCTTGGGGACCTATGGAAATTCATTTATAACTGTTGGGCATTGGTTTCGAACTGCGCTCTCCTGCCAAAGGTTAAACAGATAGATAGTATCATAGATTTTCGTGCCAAATTTTCTTTGCTCAAGCGCATTGAGCAATGCAGCACCTAGAGGTAGCTACAGTTATGCTTCCCGACTGGCATTTACTGCCTCACTGTAGTGATAGTTAGCGGCTTGAACATTTGTTACGCACGTCGTCCCAACGGCTTTGATATCGTTCACTGTTTGCTAGTCCTGGGACTAAATGGAAGACGCGGAGGAGTGGTCAATGTATGACTTGGCACCGTGGGGTGAAGAATTGTTGTATGGGGTTAGCATCTCTTGGTACGTCATGGCTCCCTGGATGAGTTCTGAGAGATCATACAACTCAGTTGCTTGAGACGTTGTCCAATTTGGTTCAGAATCAAAACCAGTGGCGGTCATGCTGTAGCTTCCTTCTATCTTCTGCTGCTGAACAATGATGAACTTTCTTTTTAATGTGTCTTACTGGACTGCCTTTCTAATCATGCTTTTCTTATTATATTTTTCGATTTTACGTATCCACTTCCCTTTGTTTTATGTCTTCACAATTTTGTTATATTATTTTGTGTGGCGTATTTTTTAGTTCGCTTGATGTACCATGTTTGTTTTCCAATAGTAATAAATAATGGGGATAGTCGGGCCTGCATATCACAATGACTCAAAAACTGAGCTGACTGGAACAAATATTTCTTGAGGTCCTACCATACTAGGTTTTTGTTGGTTAGTTACTATGCTATGATGTGAGTCTGAGGGCGAAGTTTCATTGTCGACTGGAGGGGTGTGTGGCAGCTGTTAGGTGTTTCCTGCCGATGATTAGTGGTACCATGTTGATGCTGTCCTCTATATGAGGAGGGGGTGTTGGTCGGTCTTAAAACAACACCCTCCTCTCTACCTTGTAGTTTTCCGATATTGACGATATGGTTTTTCTAGCTAAGATGCAAATCAGTCAAATCTAAACCAGCTGTCGATCGCGAGTTGAAGTCACAATCCACATTCCTAGCCTGCTGAAATAGCTCCTCAAAATATACATAGGAGCCTTCAATTTTTTCGCCCCATGTGAACAACAAACTTCGCTAAGCGGAGGAACTCTGGCATCTCAGATCTTGGACATGTGTTGTGTTTATGAGATACACATGCGTAACTGGAGTGCAGCTATCCACGTAACCTCGCGCGGACACTTGGTTAATTTATGCAATTCACCATTTAAGTTTCTGAAGATTCGATGGCTTGTTATCACGATCTTGCGCGTGTGGGTGCAGAATTATCTTTTAAGGTAGAAAATGGACTGGTTGACTGGATCCCAGTTTATATTTGCCTGTACGCTGTTCGGCTAAACGGCATAGTGAAGCTTGGCATTGTATCTTTGTAATCTCTGCTTATTTGCGCAGTGATTGCCGTTCGCATGAAGTGATAGTTGGTTTCTACTGAAAACTGTGTAGTTTCGTACTGAAAGTCAAAGCTCAAATGTGGCTGTCGTAGCAAGTGATTTCAGTGCCCGAGTGGGTAGGTTAGGTGAAATAGAAAGGCATTTAAGTGGCCTTTTAGGAATCCTAGTGTAGCGAGAGGATAACGGCGATCGTCTGCTACGATTGTTTCCTGGGCGAGCATGTGTTTGTGAGTAACATGAACTTCAACTATAAAGAGACACCTTTTTTGACGTTACGTTTGTCGACTTCAACTGAAGGGTGGGAATAGATTGGTCGTATTGCTGCCAGATGTCTCTGGAGAGGGATGGAAGATTACCACTCCTTTAACGCGTGTTCGGATAATGATGATGCACTGGTTCAAGCACTCGTATTTGTTCACTGAAATGGATGTGGTAGGACTTCAGCAAGAAGGCAATTCCGATCGCAGGTTTACGTTAAGAATACTAAGGCCGTATGTAGTGATGAACTGCTTAGATAGTTGTCGGGACAGAACAACATCATTCATGCTGAAAACTCCTAGCACCATCTTTCGTCTGCTGTAAAATGAAGCGTTGAAGACCGTAAGGGACTCTCAGAAAGTGGTTAGGTGGGATCAGTGGATCTCACCAGTTTCTTCTGAATTAATAGATACTCATGAACACATTCTTGGGCTCTCCAAGCACAACAAGGAGCAGAAGCAACTCAAATATAGACTAACCAAGAGTTTACGCAATGACTGTGGATAGTAGTGGGCAGCAGAAGCATAAGATATGGAAAAATGCACTGGGAAAAGGAAACACTAGACAGTTTATTAGACTTATCGAGGAAATTGGGGTGAAGAGATCAGTGATTAGTGAGACTGTAGTGCAGAGAAGACGATTAGAATGACGAGCGGAACACTTCGAAAAGTTAAGCTGGATTTCAGCTGCCACTGTTATCCAGCCGGAGCCTGAATGGAACAGCTAGGTAGGACTCTAAACACTAACAGAAATCGAGAAAGTTGTAAATGATCTGAAATATTGAAGGAGAGCAGGACCAGACGGACTAGTATCAGAGGTATTTAAGCGTAGTCCTAGAGGATTTCTAGTCGTGTTAACTGAAATGTTAAGTAATGGGCGGGAGTCATCTATGATCCCCTTTGACCGGTCTGAATCACTGATTATCTTCTATATTGAAGAAGGGTGGAAAGGCTTTCTATGACAACTACAGGGGAATCCTTCTGACTAGCATATACATAGTGTTGGAGATTATTAGTTCTGTAATTATCAGATACTTAGTTTGAATTCCGGAATAGCGAACCCGAGAACACCAAGCTGGGTTCAAACCCGGTCACGAGTGTATTGATCAGATATTGATCACGTTCTGAAACGCAGACACACTTTTCAGCACCAAAGGCTAGCTGTATTTCATACCCAGAAGGTGGCATTTTATTTCGTCGATGGAGGGGTCTTATGGCATTGTCTCACTGTAAAGACCGGTTTTGTCATCTTGTTGAGTGCTGTGTATTGGAATATCCGTGGGCTTGTTACGGTTTATGGTAAGGTATCAGGTGGGTTATATATGCTGAGTGGTGTTCGTAGGGGTGTTTACTCCATCGATTGTTAGTAAAATTTATCATGCATATGCTGTCGTCTTCTGGTTTTTCAGGCGTTAATCTTGCAACAGGAGACTCCTCAGAAAACATAGAGTACTCAGGTGGGATAGTCATATTAGTTTTAGATGTTGACAAAATGTAGAGTCTTGGGGGTACCTTGAATAGTGAATGTTTGGGATACGTTCCTCACCATCCAAGTACAAATTGCTGTTCTGATGTATAACTGTGAAAAATGGCCATTTAGTGGTGGAGGACATGAAAAGGTTTCGATCTTTCGACCACCACTGCTTTGGTAAAAAACGCCCATATTTTGTAGTGCCACCACATCATTAGCATACAAGTCAGTCGCAGAGTTTTAGGCAGGAGAGGAAAGTCATTTGGTGAGGTCGTTAACCTTCATTGACTCAGATCGCTTAGTGGGACATGTGTTACGCTTGCATAGTCACTATCTGCTTCATCTCACATTATTACCTGAAGTAGGTACAAGTTGGAAAGGGGTTAAAGGCGGTCAGATTAAAACCTTGCATCATTTCGTGAAGTCTTTGAATGTTGACTTGAGCCGTATAGGGTGTAAACTTCCCGGTTGGAGTTTATGCAGCAGCAAAAACTGGAGTTTAGAAACCCTATGCGATATGACTGAGAATTGGTGTGAGTAGCGCAGACGTATCCACATTGCATCGTAATCATCATACCGATTTTCATCATCGTCTCTTTCCTTCTTTCTGTCTTTCTATAACTTCACCACTTTTTACTACTTTCTCCCTTATATGTCTATCTTTCATTTTTGGTGCTTTTTCATTTGATGTGCTGATATGAAGTGTAGCAACTTGGGTTATTACGCAGTAATGTCCGGTGTCACCTTGATATTGAATGACTGACTGATAGTTACACCATCACTTCATGAATTGTTTCTGCAAAGTTCCTCAACTTGCAGTAATAGCAACTGAAAGCCTTTATGTTCTTCCAATATGAGTGTTAACATCTATTATATTAGGAGAAACAGAAGTTCTTAGAGTTGGCCTTATTATCATCAGTATGCTAAGAAGTATTCAACCAAGAAAAAATCTCAATAATTCTGGACGATTTTTGATAGGGGTTAGGTTGCTTGGTTTGTGATACAGTCTTTGTCAACAAGGAATAGGTACAATTTAGACCGAGATGTTTTTGGGTCTCCATTTTCTTCATTCCCTTACATGTTTACTTTCTGGACGAAAAGTTTATTAATTAGGATTAATTATTGTACAATGTTGTCGCAAAACAAACAGCGTATAATTGGTTCTGTGGGTTGGGGAACTAAACAGAATCTTATCACAATTGAGTTCAGTAAAAATTCGCTGTAAAAGATGAGTAGCAACACAGCATCCACATGAGTCAGCAGGTTGTAAACACCAAAACAGGAATATCTAGGCAATGAAAAAAAATGCTAACTTATTAGCAGTGTAATGGGCAGACCAAATTTTGCTGTCAGACAGACAAAACCAACCTAGAACCTCGCACACAAATGCATGGTTCAATCTGCCACACTTCACAATGGTATACAAAGAATAAGTAGATAGGTAGGAGTGATATCAAAGTAAACAAAAATGTATGGAGGGAGAGGAAATTTAAAAATTAAGGTTAGTCAAAATATTCAAGGTTTAGAAGAAATCAAATAGTGAATACATCTGCACCGTCGTGACTTGTTTTCAACCATTTCGCCAAGAGTTTTCAACTACTGATTCCTATCGTCTTGGGGATCGCAGCCAGGTAGTCTACACCTCTTTTCATTGTCAAACAGTGAGATAGCATGCAATAATTAACCAATGCTTATTTTTGTACTGCTTTTAGTTTAAGGTAGGTCAGTTGTGGTACCATTTTAGTGTTTTAGCACATTGTTAAACCATACAGCTTATGTCTGGTTATTCTATGCAGCATAACTCAATGATCTCATTCCTCATCATGTCTATTAATACACTCCTCATGTTTCATATCCTTGAAGTTGACTAGAACCGAACTGCTGGAAATAATCGGAAATCCAAAATACAGCGTAGCCAATGATGCTTTACAGTTTTTGTTTTTGGCGCATACCTTTTTAAATCATCCAACATTTTTGAATGAATTAGATCGATTTGCAATGGCAGATTTTTGGAATTATCAATACTTGCCTAATTCTCTAATGGATCCTAAACAGTATCGAGCAAGGATTGGAACTGTGTATCGAGTCTATGGACTTGGTGGGGAAAGTGATTCCAGTAATGTAAGTAAATAATGTTATTTAACTTAAAGTGTTGGGTAGTTGCATAATCATGAATCGATTTATTTCTATTGAATATCCTACTTCGTTATATATATATATATATATATATATATATATATATATATATCCTCAATTTTTTTTTCCGATTTCAGGGCACTTTATTACCTTATGGATCACAGACCAATGAATTTGTGGTGTACAACGAGGATTTAAGTGTTGCTACTGTATGCCCACCTCCTTACGCAGCTTCCAGGGTACATCATGCTGTAGCTGCTTCCCTTAATTGGATATATGTTGTAGGTGGGGAATCTGAAGAAGGTGAATTACTTAATCAGTAAGTAATGAACTAATTTAACTGTCCATGCCATCCTTAATGTAAAATACTTGCGCATAACATCCAAATGTGTATGTTTTCATTAGGATTGAAACTACGCTAGCCATAAAAGATGATTGGGAGATTTCTAGAGGTATTTTATCAGCCTGATAATATTCCCGTCGTATTTATTGTTTATTGAGTAATAATAACTAGCGAACGTAACAGGTTACCTAAAATTACCTTGATTTCATTTAGTGAATTAGATAGGATGATGTGCAACCAATTTGTTAACTTCTTTTTTTGTTGAGTTCTAAGGTTCAGAAGTATTCCACTACTGACTAGTTTTCAATGATAAAGATAGTAAACTTTCTAATGTTTATCCTCTGAGTATCTTTGCGAAGTTTCACTTTCTTTATAAAGACTTGCGATAAAAAAGCTGATACTGATTTTTCTGAGAAGAAGACGCATCTATGATAACTTACCAGAAAAAGCAGAGTTCCACTCAAAGTTAATTTAGTTGAATCTTTTGACACGAGCTTTCGAAGGATTATAATATTCAGAACTTTTATGGTGGACTTTCAGAAATGGGGAGGCGTGAAGGAATCTGCACCAAAGGTTAGTTATGGCTCGCTGGTTAAGGGAGTTGACCTGCAGCGATTAGGTCATGGGTTCTAACGTTCTTGTGCCTGTCGAGGTTTGGGCATCCAGGTGGTAGTATAGTTAGCCCTTACACAACTAGTGTGGCTCATTGCCTACTGCACGAATATGCACAAGATTGCTGAATGGATTTCGACCTTGAGATAGTGGAGAAGACCTATAATTCAGGGTGAGGTGTTCTCCGAGCTTGGAGGTTTTTTCTTTAACGTTTGGTCACCAGGCTACGGGACTTCTTCATTTATTTCATATAGATATGGATATCCATTAGCTTTAGCATAAAATAGGAAAACGTAGAGACCTCAAGATCATACCTAGAGACAAATACCCTACTACTAGATAGGATATCATGTACCCTGAGTTTTTATCTTCTATCTTATATGCCTTATATTTTGACCTACATGTTACGTCAATCCTGAAGGTAGCGAGCTTCATTCATCCTACATGTAACGATGTATAAAATTTCTTATTGATTGTGATAAACAACATATCAACTGGGTCTGAATTCCGAGCTTCTGCGTATTTCTTTCTTGCACTGAAGATTTTCGTCAGGCAGGGTGCAAGGGCCCAGAAAACATGTTGCTTTGTTATCATTGTAACTTTATTTGTACATAAGCAATTTATCTTGAATTATCTTTTTTGAATATCCTAATAACTGTACTACTTAAATTGACAGAACAGTAATGGAAATTGGTGATCGTCTTAAAAGTAAGATTAACTATACTGCAGTAGACAGTAGAATTGCAAATAAGTATTCGTTGAGTACCAATGTATGTGTCCACGAGTGAAGATAGCACCTCTGAAAACAATTCATCCAAATGCGATGAATTCACAGTGTAAGGTTAACAATCGGTCGAAAAAAATGACTTTCTGAATAAGCAGTAGCCATACCAATATATTGTTACCGGTAAAGCTGTACTGATTGTCGACGTTTCAATATACAGAGGAGGTCGCACTATGCTGAATTTATAGGTTATCAGCTTTAATCGCGCTATATTACCATAAGAAGAAGGTGAAGAAGTTAAAATACTATAGCGTTTTCTCTTAATTCCCTTTCTTTTTTCGCATACTATGCCAAGGTCTCATACCGACAATATTGCGTAGACTCATATGCTTATTGTGCTATACCTTAAACGTTTTATGTACTATTTCTAAAAGTAAGTCCTTGAGCTGTTTATTACCCCTTGGTAGCTTTTCGTTTTGAAGAGTAATGAAATAACCTTCATACACCTCGTTGTGCAATGCTGAACATTATTATCATTATCTCTTTCGATACCACTTTGGACGTTTCTCAAAACTCTGCAAAAAATATGTCACTGTTAGGCTTCTTCGTCATTGTGTTACAGTCTTTAATCTCTGATGTACCTATAAGCCATAAAGTCAAGGAAGTGAAGTTATGTAAACGAACAAATAAGCATGATTTGATCGGTCTTCCGTCAGTAAAAGGAGACACTAGATGGATCAAACCCAAGTTTAGCAGTATTAGTTTTATGTTAGGGTACTATGTTAAGCATCTATGTTTGCCACATGCAGACCTGATAAATAATTATTATTGAGGCAACCATCTGAAGCAATCCGTAAACTCTGCACGTCATATCGAATGCATGCAGAGCCACAAGCATCAAGTATCGATTACTCTTACTACCACTGGTATCATTCACTGACTGTGTTTTAGCGCATGACTGTCAAGTCGACAAGTTTAGCTGCTGCAATTAATGTCAATTACCACTGTTTTGTGCTTTGACTTAGAGTTTCTACCCTGATGTGGTCATCGAGGTTGCATATTACAATAACCCAATGAACTATCCTGGCCAGAGCAAATATTTCTTGAGGTCCTACCGTTCCAGAAACGTTTGTTGTATAATAGGAAGACTAAAAGCAGTTAACAATATACGGTTAATTATTACACTGTGATGAAAATTCTAGGATGAAGTCGTACCGTTGACTGGATATATATTTGGCAGCTGTAAAGTCTTTTAAGTGTATGGCTAGTGGTACCATGTTTATGCCGTCTTCCGTATGGGGAGAGGAGGGGGGTGTTGGAAAAGGCCGGTCTCAAAATAACATACTCCTCACTACCCTATGATTTCCCGATACCGACAATATGGGTTTTCTAGTTCAAATGCAAATCAGTCAAATTTAAACCATAAACTTCCAATAAGGCTGTGTGTGATGGGTTCAAGCGGATATCCTTTGCTCTCTATGGTCACAAATTTAATCCCTTTTCTCTTTCAGATACCTTGCAGAAACAACTTCCACATTGCGGGCACATGGGAAGTGTCAACCGCCCGCATGATTTCAGCAGGATTTAAGGCTCAACTAGCCATAAACTACCTTCTTTACCATTGCCTCCTCCCTTACCTTTACTTCTTTATGCCGATGTTAGGCTCCCAGTAGTTTTGACAATTTCCCAACCTGAAACCATTTCCAACGATGTGACCCAGCAAAAGACAGTTGGTAACCTACATCCAAAGGTTAGCAAACGTCAGTAGATTTCTGCAACTTCATCCGAAGTGATTGATGCGAGAAGACTGGTTCCAGCTGGGTCTGACCACAATGAACAGCAAAAGCATTCGAATCGTAAACTGAATAAGAGTCTTCACAATGATCGCGAGCAGTGGTGGGTGGCGAAAGTGAGAGAGCTTGGGAAGGCGTTAGCACTCGGTAACACCTCAGAACTATTTATGCTTATTAAGGATGCTGGCAAGAAGAAAACGTTGGCTAGTGAAACCATCACCGGAAAGGATGGAACGCTGATAAATTCTCACGACAGACGGCTAGAACGTTGATCGGAACACTTTGAAGTCCAGTTCAACTATCCAACAGTAACACTTCGGTCCCCCAGCTTCCAACCTGAACCTGGATAGGACGTAGATGTCCGTCCTCCAACTCTTTGAAGTTGAGAAAGCTGTATTGAACCTGAAACGATGCAAAGCAGGATCTGACAGTTCGCCATCAAATGTTGTGAAGGATAGAGGCAGGAAATTGCTATCTGAAGCGACGGAGATACTAGGTAGTGTATGAGAATCAGATGTAGTCCTATCAGACTGGTCTACTTCACTGATTATTCCAGTCTATAAGAAGGGAAGAAAGTCTTCTTGTGACCATCACAAGGAAATTAGTTTAGCTAATATCGTGTCCTAAGTCTTTGGGAGGCAGTACCGAGCATATGTGTAACTGTAGTCAAGGCTGTCTACTCGAACTCACGCAGCCATGTAAGGGTTTATGGTGATGTATCATGTGAATTAACGACAACTAGTGTTTGGCATGTGTTTCACTGCCATCTGTGAATTGTAAGATGATGCTTTGGGACTAGTCTGCAACAACTTTCAGGTTAATGATAAGAATGGAAGTGGTGGAATATGCCGACCATTTCACTTATTTGACGAGTTGCATCAGCTTGGACGGGCTGGTAGCCGACGAAATCTCACCTCGGATACAGACGACTCATTTGACATTAACCGAATTGGGTCACCTATGACGCTTTGGGAAGGTATCCCACCATTTATTAATGGACGAGTATACTGCGTTGCAATCCGTTCTGTCCTGTTATGCGGCTATGAGACATGGCCGTTGAAAGTAGAAGACACGAACTGACTTCAGGATTTCGATCATAGGTGTCTTCGTAGCATTGCTCGCGTTCGATAGAATCACCATGTAAGCAATGTTGAAGTCAAGCGAAGGGTACTAAGCAAGATAGGTAAGCCGATTAATAGGATTGTGAGCCTTGATCGACTGAGGTGGTTAGGATTGGGGTTTACACTGAAATGTCTTGGTAATCAGTGTTTCTACTACTGGTGATACTCACCTTTTTATCATGATCATTTAGTGGAGCTGTGGTTCAGTGTTTTAGATAGTTGGCTTCCAACCAATGGGTTGCCAGTTTGAAACCCTCTCGGCCTACCGAGGTTTGGGCAGCTCGGTTTTATCATCAGCCTTCATACAATATATGTAGGTCATTGCCTACTGAATGATAATGCTCGGGGTTTCTTTTGATTTTCGATGGTTATGTGACGTAAGAAGAATTTCGAAAGGAAGTTTTTAAAAATTAAATTCTGGAAAAGGATAATGGGATGGAACGTTGTACAGAAATTAATATTTGATGCCATGCTTACTTGTTTCAGTTATCGTTATAAGTTTCGTTATAAATCAAATATAATGTAGGAGAGAAATACTATGGACCTTCATATGTTTTGTCCTCTTTATCTCACAACCAGGATAAGTTAATGGATCAGATCGTAGCTTTGTTCACTGATTTATCCGAGAGCAAACCGTCAAGAAAACACTAACTTCTTAAAAGGTTTCAAATAGCATATGCATAAAGACTGTATACTAGTGTCCAGTTTGTCAGACAAGACTACAGGTGAACAGAAGTACAAGCTCAGTAACCGTTATAACCATATACTCTTTACATAACTTTAGACTAATAACCTTCAAACTGCACACGACATTAAGTCTTTTTTCGTTTAATTTCTTCGGGAAGCTCGGTAATAACTGTGAGTTGATATTCATAAGCTGCCGACTGCTTCTTACTAATCACATCACTTAGCTAGTCAATTGTTATTCAGATGATTCGGTTACTTTTTGTCACAGATACATCGTTAATACTAACCAACTTATACTTCCTACTAACTTTTCAAGGTACCTTAGATAAAGTAAAGTAATAAATGATTGATAGAATAGGATATTTAATCTCGCTTGAGTTTTCTTGTTGTATTGATCCGTTACTTAAATTCCATCTAGTAGGTAGTATGTGTTATTGTAAAAGAGTGGAAGTGCGGGCCCAGCACTGATTGCTTCTGCCTCAGCTACTTTTAGACGAAGGGTCTAATTATTGCTATTTGTTGATGTGCTTTTAATTCTCCGATGTTTTACTGGATCGAACTGTCTGACATCTATTGGCATACGGGCTCCTATGTGGATGCTTCAATATTACCTGGATATTTATTAAGATAATTTGCTTGGTTGTGGCTTAGCAGAAAAATCCAGGATGCACTGTCGTCCTATTTGGGACTCGTCAGCTGGAAGTACCTGCATCCTAGTGAGTGGTGTTGTCCCCACCGAGACTCGAGCCCAGTACCTGCTGTACACGATATGGCTATCGTGCCTCAATCGCCTAGTGGATAACACCTTGGCGTTTGAAGCGACGGGTACTGGGTTCAAGCCTCAGTGGGAACAACACCACTCACTAGGATGCAGGTACATCCAGCTGATGAGTCTCAACTGGGACGAAACGCGCGTCCTGAATTCTTCTGCTAGCCACAACTAAGTAAATTATCATAAAAGGGTCTAATCTTCTTGATGGAGAATTTATCTTCATTACCTGCAATTTGTTTTATGCAGTTCAAACCGACATAATTACATGACCTACTGTTATGTTTTTTTTATCTGAAACTCTTGCCTTTTTCCTTACCAGCTAAGAAATATTCACTATATGAATTAATTACATCAACACAAATTAGATAGAGCAGATGTAGCAAAATATATCCCACACATTATCTTTCGAAGTGGATATCTGACAAGTGTATGCCGTCGATAGCTAACCTAACGAAAGACGACCATTTATTTGTTATATCGAAGATTATAAATCTTTTTAAAATAGTGGCAGATAAGCTCACTTTTTGTTAGTTTTCAACTTTTTAACATTCAGGTAAACTCTACTTGTTTTCTCTGACTCATTTTTCACCTTTGTATCGTGAATATCTTTCTGCTTGTGTTGATTTTCTCAGTCTGTAGTGTTGAGAAGTGTAAGAGGTGTAACGAATACACCTAGGTGCCAAGTTCCATGTTGATTTATCCGTTTATCTGTATGTCTTTTATCTATAGACTGTTTCATTGCGTTTTCATCTATTGAATGAAGCTCAAGAAGCCATTGGATATGATATTGAAAAAATATTGTGACACCAGTTTTATGTTCTTCATTGCAAAGCTAATCTTTGTTGTTTTATTCTCCTTTTCTTGCATTTTATTATTTTTAGCTGCTCCCGTTATAGTTTAACAGATCTTGTTTGGCATTCAATGAGTGAACTTGACTGTCCTAGGTCACATCATGCTTTAGTATGCATTGAAAATTATTTATACATGTTTGGTGGTTATTGTTTAAATTGGGAAACGAGCTATTCACCAGCTAGTGATTCAATTTTAATTTATAATGTTTGTACAAATAAATGGAATAATTCACACCATAAACTACCATTCAGTCTGGTGGATACATGTGCATTACTACTAACGCATAAAGGTATATTTTTTGGATTGATATTATATTCTTACTTGTTTACAATTTAGTTATCTTACCGTTTAACTGACCTCCTTTTTGACTAAACGGTAATACACGTTTAACGGTGGGATGCTGTTTAAATAATAATTTTTGAGGTGGGGGAGTAGCCTCTAAGTATTTACATGATTGAGTGTAGAGGTGTGGCTCATGGGTCTAGATATTTTACTTTCAATTGGTGGGTCATGGGTTGGAACCCTGCCACACCTACTGAGGTCTTGGCAGTTATGTAGTGGTTTCACTAGCGTGTACATAGTAGGTGTGGCTCATTCACTACTGCACAAATGTGCAAGTGGTAGCTGGGAGAATTTCATTCATCACCTGATGAAGTAAAACTGTTAATTACTTGTCTGATTACTATACTTTCTTAATTGAGAAAACTACTTGGGATAGTCCAATAGCATCAATATTTTGTAAATAACTTAATTATACCTCATGGCCCTATACTCGAACGTGGATTCGTTTACTAAGCTACATTCCGCCGCTTTCACGCTTTTAAAAATATGCACACTTATTTACAGTGATGGCATTTCGATGTATCGGTTCTCATCCTAATTTATATGGTCTACCTTACAACAATCTCCATAAATTTATGTTCTAACTGTGATATTACTGATTCAAACACTTAATAACTTGTATAAATGGGTTATATTGATGGTGGAAACGTTGTCGGAGTACAAAAACCAACACGCATCTACGCAGCATCATTCCTTACCGAAATGTTTGATTGCTTTCTGAATTAACGTTTCCAGCTGTCTTCAATATGTTTAAGTGCACGTTCACTCGTAGCGTCGAAAACTGCATACACTCAGAAGTTGGGTTATATCCCATCTGCCCCTATTATTTGCTATTTGTATATTTGGGAAAACTTTTAGCACTGTTGCATTTACTCCAATCTTATTATTACTGGCTTTTTCCTTGAAAACAGTGCAGACTAATCATTAATTAGAGCTGTGGTTCATTGTTCTAAGCAACTGACTTTTAACCACTGGATTACAAAGTGAAATCTTGTTCCACCTACCGAAGCTTATGCAGCCAAGTATTATTTCTAGATGTCATTGCTTGATACATACATCTGCAACTAGTTTCTTGTTTACATATTGTATTTACTCTGAAATGCATATTTTTATGTACCACACATTGCAAAAATATACTCAACCTAACATTTATTTATTTGCTTATTCTGCTTACAACATTCTCCAGTGAAAATTATCGACAAATTATTACAAAATGGAACAATTATTCCTCGAAAGATATACATTCATGAATTCTTATTGTATAAAGTTCAACTATTTGATTGACCTACAAATCGAAATGCACTCACATCAACCTTGTGCAGATACGTCCAGTAGGCAATGAGTCACACCTATTGTGTGAGGGCCACTAATGCTACTGGACTGCCGAAACCTCGGTAGACGAAGGAGGTTCCCAACCTGTAACCGACTGTTTGAAAGTTAACTCTCTAAACCAATGAGCCACAGGTCCACAAAAAGCAACAAGATCACATGCTAAGTATACTTTAAATCTGTGTATCTCTAGTATTTGCGATTAGTGATATAAACGGAAAATAACATACATTCCTAAAAAAATTTCTGAACATATTAATACATAGTGTTTACACTTACCGTGTATGGTCTATGACAAGCGTGAGCTATTATTATACAGCAATAATCTTGAATGGTCTAATATAGCTTTGGGTCGGGGCAGTTCGTTCATTCTGTAGAAATACGACCGTAAACTCATGACCTCTGGAAGGGAAATCTTATTCATTGCGTTTATGTGGTGGTAGCATTTCCACAAAGTAAAGAAATGAAAGCTAAGGTCCACTGCTTATCATTAGTGGATACCGAAATTCCACCTTAGAGGCTTGGAAAACCCTGTTTTTTAGGCCGATGGTACAAGATCGACAATGGGTGAGTGATATACAAACCTATTCTGTCAACTGGAACCCGTGGAAATGCAGTACCTGATATTGTTCCACTGCCTGATATGTCGGACTTGAAACCAACGACTAGGCCAGTAGTCCTTTAAGAAAACCACTTGCTTCCGTTTGAGCATCTGGACGGTTTCTTAGCCTTTAGACGACTTATTATGACAGAAAGCCTCAATGGGAACTTTGAAATGTTTTGCTAACTCTCTTTTTACTGTAGCCTCAAGAAATGAGAATTATTCATATTATTTTTTATTATATTCTTACAGTTTATTCTATGATACTTTTTCTCAGGCCCATATTCAATCTTTTTTTTCTATATGGATATTAAACCTTATGTGAACATTTTTTCCTTTTCTTGGTGTGTTCAACGTGAATTAAGGTGTAGTTATGTTTGCTGGTGGTCTCGAAGAATATGGTGATGAAATGCGTCCATCAGATTGTGTTTTTTTATTCGATCCAATAGAAGATGGTGAGAATTTCAAATTTTTACCAAAACTACCAGTTCCTTTAATCAGTGTAGCACTGGCGTGTGACACTTTAGAGGATCAAGTATTTTTATGCGGTGGTAAAAGGAGTGTATACGGCTCCAAACTTAGCGATATATCAGATAAAGTATTTTCCTTCAGATTTAGTTCTGTAAGTCAACAGCATGTTTTTTTTAATCTTTGCTTTGTATTGTATATACTCATTTTGTGTTTACGTTAGTTTATTAATACATAACACGATGGTTAGTAGTTAGGCTAATCCGTACTTAAAGACGATTTGTTTATCAGACTACTATCGACTACTTTTCATTCGCTATCAGTAATAGGAAACTAACTACTGGATAGCATACCATTTGTAGTACATCTCATCTGTTCATGACACAGTATAAATCATTCCTCATTACCTCATTTGAGTGGTTTCCGATAAGAATGCATTTAACTTCACAGTTGACTATTTGAAAGGCTATATATTTGTGATGTATATCTCTACTGTTTGTAAGTAGTTTTCATATTGTTAATTGGTGCAGAATAAGTTTAAACAATTTTTTTCGTACCACATTTCTTGTCCTTCGGTTTCTGTGTTACATTTATATGGGGTGTGGTGTGTTAGCTGGAGTATGTTAAGTTTGGGAAAAGAATGAAGATATCACTACGTGAATCTCTATGAGAAAATTTAGACTTCTATTGTCGGATACGCGTAATAATTGAAATTGGAGACTGGAGGCTGTATGTGATATAGCTGAGAATTGATCACAGTGAAGTGTTATCTTCATCCTAATCGTTATATTACATTTCGTGGTTTGTTCTATCTTTTTTTCCTCTCTTTTTATGGCTTTCTACGGCTCTTGACTACAACTTGTTCTATTTTTCTGTTTCATTTTTTATCCTTGAGTTTGAATATGATGGTATAAGATATGGCAACTTTAATTGTTATGCGCTTATGTTCCATGTTGAAACTGACTTACTAACAGTCCGTGACAAGCCTTTTATCTTATTAGGTAATAAGCTAACTTGTCATTCATTCTGTCTTTTGAAATCTGTTCAATTTGTAACTCAGTCTCGCTGTTAGTTGACCTAAAGCGATATGTGAGCAAATTCTATGCACTTATTCTACTGTTATGACATTTCAGTTACGATTTTTGGATGAGTTTAACAAAACATGGGTGCTAGAGATAATTTAGAAAAGTAACTTTCCTGTATAAATTAAATTTGTAGTGAAAATTAGTGGAATTTCCAAAAATGCATACAAGTTAGTTTGTCAGCTCTAAATATCCATTAAGGCACTTACTTTTCTCCTACTTTATATTCTTCTTACTAATTAGTTTTTGAACTGGGGGCTAGAATTAATGGGTTTTGGTGTATCTATCTGAGTGTGGCCGTATATAATCGTGCAGCACGCTTGCATCTGTATCTTATCAATAGTCGGTGGAATTTCTCATCTAACCGAAGATGCAGTGATGAGGCTCTTCGCTAACAATTTCCTAGTGAACATCCACTTAATGCATGTAGTTCGCAATACTACTCACTATGCCCACAGTTTTTAAGTATTTTTTTTGAAGAACAAGTAGTTGATCAGTAAATGTGTCATCCACATATTGCCAATATCCCCAATCATAGCAGATATATTTATGGATAGTTGGGAAAACATGGCTTAACAAACGTTTAGTCCTGCACCAAAAATATGGTGGCGATATGTGGATGACACATATACTGCGTTGAAATCGTAACATATCGATAATTTCCTCGCACATATACACTCAGTAGTAGGCGCAAACCAATTCGCTTATGAGGTAGAAAATGAACAAGTAGAATTACCTGTGTTGGATTGCAGGGTAAAACGAAGAACAGACGATGGTTTGGATACTACCGTCTACAGGAAATCAGCACATTCGAACAGGTATCTAGACTTCAAGTCATCCCATCCAATGTCAGTTAAGGCAGGCTTAGTCAATTTTCTAAGTGATAGAGCTAGAAAACTGACTAGTCAGTGCAAGGACCTAAACAAGGAATTGAAACACGTAATAGAAGCGGTAATAGTTAATAACTATCCTCCGCAGTTTATTAAGAAATTCGTACGAACACACAAGAAACGAAAAGATAACGGTAACACGAGTACGAATAATAACGACAACACAAGTAGAAAGGAGTTTACAACCTCCATTGTGTTACCTTATAAGGAAGGTACATCAGAAACTTTGGGTAAGAATCCTCAACAAAGCTGGAATTAGGATAGCATTTAAACCTAGAAACTCACTCAGAGATAAGCTTAGTCGGCTGACCTAAGGATCCGATAGAAACAATTCAGCAAAATAATCTAATCTATCAAATTCCATGTAATGACTGTGAGTCCAAGTACATAGGTCAAACTAGCCGGTCGGGGTCAGTTAGAATAGTCGAATATAGGGATTTAGTTAAATATAGTTTGATAGACCTGAATAAGATCAATAGCACGTTACGAATTCACATAGTAGTCGGGCAAAACCCATAGTGATTGAAGTGAAATAAAAATCTGGTCAACAGTGGGACTTCGTAGCTCAATCGGTTGATCATCTGGCTGGAAACTTGGTGGTCACTGGTTCGAATCCAGCCGCGGTCCAAATTTTCATTTCACCTTCAGTCATCACCTAGTAAAAAAATGTATTTTCTTTGACCAGAAAAGTAACTGATCAATGAATATTATGCTTTTAAAAATATAAATTCTAATACTTTCAGTCTATAGAAATTTTAGTTGGATGTAAACTAGTTGAATTAATCATCAAGTGACAGTTTAGTTTACTAGAATTATTGTCGGGGATGTTGGACGTCCGGAAATGTGCGCTTTATACTTAAGTTCATAAATTTGCCTGACAGGAATTTGGATTTTTCCTTTTTGCGCCTTTCTCGCCTCACGTGTGTTGCTCATTTTTACTGCTACTTTCCTACTGGTTGTTCTTCCACTTTTAATACACTAATTTATCTGTTTGCCCCATTGATATCCCCGTTGTATATAAACATATCAGCTGTTTCCGTATACTGATACTCTTCTGATTGAAGTAAACTCTCTTCAGTCAAGTCTGTCCTTTGACTTGTGTTAGCCGCATGAGTTGTTGAGCACCACAAATCCTTCATTCGGTGTTCAGTTTGTGCATCCTTAGTTATCCATTTTGGCCAGTTGCAACGGTATTGTAGAATCAGATATGAATGACTCACGCAATACTTTTAAAATCCACCAGTTTTGAGGTTTAGATGTTTCTTCGACCAACTAGATAAGCTGTTAGGTTACACTGGAACTTACCAACTACATGGATATTTGTGCAGTAGGTTATAAAGTACACCTTGTATTATACGGCTAATTATGCTGGTTTATTGTAAATTTTGAGTGAGCCGATATGTGCTTAAACTCTTAACCTTATTGGCTGTAAATTGATTGTCCAAGCCTGTAAAATTCATCTCTAAAAACTTTTGAAGTGCTTATAGTTACCTTAGATCGAAGATGTTGGAGTGAGTTGGAACATATGTTCTAATTGTTTCAGGTAAGACATCCACTTGCTAGGCCACTTCAGTATGCCTGTCACAATCGTATTAGAATGTTATATTGCTGTTGTTTTCGTTTTTTTTTATTCTTCCATCATCTCAATCAAGTTGATTTGATTTTCGTTACTTTCCAGAATTGTTGGACTGAAATAACCATATTGGATTTTCCGCGTTATAATGCATTTTCATTTTTACTACATGATAAATTATATGTAATTGGAGGGATTACAGTTGATGAAGTCATTGAGAATACATCCACTTCACTACTGGCTTCGTTAATTGACGCAGATCATGATAACTCTACAACTGACAGACAAATAAGTAATGGTGATAATGAAAATATTTCTTCTAATTTATTAGAACATTTTTCTGTCGGAAATTATATCCATCGAAATATTTTACAAGCTCCATTCAGACCATGTCATTTCACTGAAGGTTGGCAGTTGAGGTCATCTTCAATGACAGCATTATCGTCAACCTCATCACAATCATCTTCAGTAGGTGATTTCTACACAACATCAACTCAAATACGTCCAAAACGCTTAAAATTATCACTTGCCAGATATGAAAATCACTTACCTGTAATAACAAGATGTTGTGCTGTGTATTGTATCGCACCATATTTAAATTGTACCAAATACTCATCAGAGTAATATGTGATACAAGAATTATACTGGAACATTGTATAAATAAAGTTAATTAATATTTATTTTTGTACACTTTTGTTTAGTGTCTTGTCTTCTTTTCTGTTTTTCATATCCACTTATGATTATTGTAACAATAAAACTTGTAAGGATCGCCTATACTTTCACTACTATTTTGATTTTTGTTTATTTTTCTTTCCTTTTATTCATTTCAGTTTTGCATTCAACTGTTTATTTTATTATCTATTGTATCTAAATAGTTATTTAGAATTATACAGTGATATTATCCTCATCTACTGGTTTTTTCTCTCTTCGTTTTATTGGTTTCACTTTGTGGAAAAATATCATTGTTGTTTAAAAGTATGCTATACGCGTGTCATGTTTATATTATTATTATTATTACTGTGTGTAGGTAAGCTTTGGTATGATGGATACCTCCTCTTCTACTGTTCGTGATCATGTGTGTGTATTCATCTGTTTGTCAAACATACCGAGGAGTGATTTAATTCACGGGAGAAAGTCATTTGATAACATGCAACTTTGTACTATGTAAAAAACAGATTTAAGCGATATTTATTGCGTGATGAAGTAAACTAAATCAAAAGTTATGATTGACTTGGTTTTGGGACGCGCGTTTCATCCTATTTGGTGCTCATCGGCCGTTAATTTTTGCGTAACATTTGTTTTGAATAACGCATCATGTTCAACTGGGTGGGCGAAGGGTAAAATAATAAATAAACGTTATATGTTCCTCTCAATTTAATTTTAGAAATACGATTTAATTTGTTGCAGTTGTTGTAAGTTAGTTAAGTCCCACTGTGTACAACAATTCTGATATCACTTTGAATGTGTTTACGAATTTTTCCATTCACTTTTTAGTCGTAGTGTTCACTGCTTCCTTGTTTTGGCTATCTTTAGGATCTGTAATCATTGATCATCTAAGTGGGGGTGGGGAATTGCCAACCAGGGGGATTTTATTGTTTTCGGCAAAAAGATGATGCCTAGCAAGTAACTCAACTTACTGAAGACTGTTTAACTGAGCAATTTCGGTAATTTCAAGGCCTACTGTTAGCTATCTTGTACGACATTATCATCGAAAAGTGTCAAATCCACAATTTTGTTCAAGTTTTTCATAGAATAACTTACTGAATTCACATTCTTTCTTCGTTTTATTTTGTGAAGGGTTTTTTATAACTTGGGTAATTAGCGTTTCTCTTCAATATATTGTGTACAAGGAAATAGCATGAATTATACATTGGTGTCATTTGAATGACTGACAAAAACGAAATGACATTGAACAGCTTTCTTCTCTCATTATGAAATATATAGCATATCTTTCTGGAAATCAAACTGGGATCTGATCTTCTAATGTGTATGATAATGTACAGTTACTAGATGACTCTTCTTAACTTCAGTCAGCTTTTTATTGATGTTTTCATTCTTATCGAGTTAGTTGACCGTAAAGGTTGTAACTTTTCATTGGAATTCCTAAAAATATTTTCATAAAAGTAGTGGAGTGTCACAAAAATTAGCGGTTCAGGTGACCCGATTTACATACAAATATTTCCTATCATCATCCATTCCAAACATGGTGACAAATGGTTAACAGGTCAGTCTTTATGCGATCATGAATACAATGATGTTAGAGGGATACTTACTGTTAGATTTCATGGTGTAGATTTGTTGAAAGTGTCCTCTATTAAAAACAAAGGTTATGATGACATATGGGTCTAGTAATCTTTGATTTCCAGTAACTTTTAATATTGTATCGGCTCATATTTTAAACTTTACGAATTCACTTTTTGTTTTGTTGTAAGTTACTCATACGTTTGAACTGCGGTCAATCAATAGACTAGCTCAGTCAATGAATACTGACGTGTTTACTTCTAACTTTATTACTTTACATACGGCACTTTTAGACTATTCAGTGAATGCAGTTTATTGTGTGCGGAAACTGGAATTTTTGCCTTAACCTTTTATGTGTTGGATATAGAAGCTAGCTGAACTTAGTTCAGAGTACATAAAGCACAGCAACTGAGGTAAAATGCAGCACATACGCTTCATACTTTTTAGCTTGGGCAATGTGCTTACAAAAGAAGTTCTAGTGATTTTTATTTTGACTTGTTGACTTATTGTAATGTTTGATTGCATTAATGAGTTGATCTTTTAAAACTAAGACATCCGAGTTGTAGATAAGTCTTATTCTTGTATGCATACTAACTCAAGACCTTAAGTCTGCAACCTTTTGCTCACCTTCTTCAACTATCCAACATTAAATAAAATAGACAGCAGTGTTGAGTTACTTTGCTATCTGATCACACTGTAGAATTGCTTCATAGATTTCGACGAAACCTTAACTGTAGACATGGATTTTTTTTTACTACCCAGTGACTACTCATTGAAGGTTATTCTTTATTTTCATTATGGTATCCAAATAGGTAGTTACACTGTAGTATTGATATTTAAGTTGTCTTTAATTTTAGGCTATAAATGTAAATAGTATTTCCTTTCTGTAGTATTTTGCATGAGTATCAGCATTGGTGAAGGAACTCGAACTGTTTGCAACGTGGTTTACTGACAGATGTAAACTATGTGAATTATGAGATACTGGAATGTAAAAGTGTTCATATAAATCTGACTAGAAGATATAGATGAGATATCAGAGATTTGTATTTTCTGTATACGTATCAAAAGCCCATTACGTAAGTATTCTAGCAGGCACAGATCAATTTCAGTTATGATTGCATGATTAAGCATTCATAATACAAAACGGTGGAAATGTGTATTCGATATTCTGAATAAGTTATAAGTGACTGGTGATTTCGGCGCAAGCAAATCAACCGTAAGAACTTACTAGCTGTAATATCAGACTTTATCCGGTGCACAAGGAATGACTGTCGAAACTCTGTAGCATTACGAAAGAGATGGTTGGTATGTTCAAGTTGCAGGGGAAACAACAATGTTCACTGAGATTCAGGTATATCATGTTGACTAGTTCCAACTAGAACTAGATATAATATATAGATTCCAGTGTTAGTCACTATCTAGAAAGTTGATAAAGAGTGATAATCTTGCTTAAAAAAGTTAATCTTACATTACTATCATTTTAAACATTTAAAATTAACTACAAATGAAATATATTTTTAAAATCCCAATGAGGTAAAACAATCAATTTTTGACGTTTCACGACTTCATGGAAATCGCTTCTCCAGAGAATAGAGCGTATACAAGTTGTCGAATGTTTAAACGGTAAATAGTGACAAATCAGATTACGTTGTTCATACATGATAATAATATGGGTATGCATATCTCTGTTGTGTTTGCCAGAATACGTTCAAACTTGTCTGTAATCTGTTATTAGTCTAGAGTTCAAGTTATACGAAGTCGTGAAACGTCAGTAATTTTTTTAAACAAATGTATTTCATTTATAATCTATTCGTTCAATGATCAACTCTATCAGGTCAAAGTGTGATCTCGAAGTTCTTTAAAATTAATTGTCTTGAAAGTAAGTGTAGATGTTTTATTGAATTTGATTTTTATATAGCATAGAATGAAAATAAGAGAATTATCCAAGCTATAAATCTTTAGAGTATGCTTTGCCTTTAAGATTTTATCAATAAAAAAGTACAACGATTGTTAGTGAAATATGTATATAGCGTTAGGCAACACAAAGTAGATTGCGGTTATATGATATTTCAACTGAGTAGTTCAACAATTAAGAGATACAAAGTAGTAGTTGATTCACTACACTAGAATAGTGAACAGTTAGATTCCAAACTATTGTCAGAATGTAACGTATTTACCATGAAATCGATCTATCAGTTTTCGGCTTATGAGTGTTTCCTACTGACGAGTCCAATGCTGATTTACTCTCCAGCTAAAATTAATCTCTCTTTCGTCCTGTGATAAGCCTTGAAGGTAAGGGTTACAGAACGTTTTTCTATTTTAAGCTCACCTCTTTTTTATGCGTTTATGTAGTAGATACACTCGAGTAAATGAGCTATAGTTTTCTCAGTTCTTGTACTGAATTCTGTGAATTTAAATCTCATAATTATGGATTTTTTGGAACTTTTGTCACCAATCATTTTCGGATACTGTTCAGTAAATCCCGTGTATCTAGCCATGTTGTCTAGTTCATGGTGTTCTGAAGAGTGTTTTAACCAAGCAGTTTTCTACTTCTTGTGAATTGTGTCTTATAGTTGAGATGGGTGCTGGAAGTCGGGCTAAAATCTGGTCAGTAATTCAGCTTTCTATGTCAGTTGCCAAGCATGGTGATGCCAATTTAAAAGGTTCTGACTAGAATCGGATTATGATCGAAGTTTTTTCTGTAGACTAAAGCCTGTTTCCTATTAGTTTCGATTGTTGTGATAAACACTGGACTAATCAACATTTTTGATTCACGTATACTTTTGGTTTTATTTCTTCACTAGGTGATAATATCTTAATCCAAGTAAAATTTTATATTCTTGAAAGCTACACTTTTCGAGGTGTATATTACTGTAAGTCAGAATATCGACTATTCTCCGTGAACATTGTCCACAGCATATAGGCTAATGGATGATAGTATCAATTCCAATAGTAATACTAAATCCTCCTGTAGTACACCATCACAAAATGGAAATGGATCAATTTGTCTAACAATTAAACGTTTACCAAAGGAAGTGGTCAATCGCATTGCTGCTGGTGAAGTTATACAACGTCCTGTTAATGCAATTAAAGAACTGATTGAGAACAGTATAGATGCTGGCAGTACAATGATTAAAGTAGGCTTTGCATGCTTTTTTCATGTTGAAATAGTTTTAGTTTTTCAGCTTACCAGCATTATTTTATTCATTTCAAATTTTTGTGGGATTGAATGAATTGTTAGTCATTTCTTTCACCTACATATTCAGTGTATGTAATAATAGATTGTAGAATAGTTTCCAAAAGTTACAGTAAGTTACAAATTGTTGGAAATCATAGGATGATAGATAATTGTTTATTCCTGTTTTGGTTCTACTGCCTAATTTTCACCCTTGAACTCGTAAATATAACTCAAGGTTTCATAAATTTTGTTGAGATGCTTAATTAGCAACCAGCTACTGACAACTTTGACGTATAAGTACGCGTTTCAAAGGGTGTAATTTTGATAATATAACACATAGTTGTTCTATATCATGGGTTGGATTGCACTTATATATCAGACTTGAAATGATAAGTGTGATTTTTAATTTATGTATAGGAAGGAGACTGAAGATATTAACCTGTTCTAAAGACAAAATATTTGACACTTTGTTTATTGCTTGTACCCTCTCCTGGGTACTACACCAAAGTTATTTAAATATTTTCGATATTGTTTCCGAATGTAGCTGATAATTAGTAAAAGAAAACAGCTTGGCATTTCATCGGATGTCCAAAATTAAATTTCATGGCGATTCTTAAGCGTACTATTGTTAGTTAAAAGCAATCTTCATTCATACGAAATCTTACTGTAGAGTTTATGGGTTAGTTATCGGAAAAAGGCAATAGGTGAATCCACCGATGGTCAAATGAATTGCTATTGAATTATTATCCAGTTCGTTCTGAATTTGATTTGGAAGCAATTCATATATTCATCTTTATATTCAGAAGAACATCTTGATTGGGAAAGATGACCAGAGCAAATTAAATTAGGAAATATGGTGTGAAAATGATACACTCGTCGAAACATCATGTTTATCTCTCTGTAAAATACGCCGATAGAAAATCTCAATAACAATAGGCAATTTTCAGAGAGAGTTAACTGAGTTAAAATTCAATTCATCCGTTTGTTGGATGGATGAGAAGGGATATATTACGGATGCCTGGTCACCGTTCGCCTCGTCGTACAAGTAGTCATTGAAGTAGTTTCAGGTTGAAGGAAGGTCATGGGTGTTCAGACTAAAATATGACATCCCTCCATGAAGTTTTTTTTATTATTGGTCTGAGACATGCAGAGGAATGTAGACAATGTAATGTGAGAGAATATACAATCTGAAGATAAAGGTTAATGTGAATATTTAAGCTTTAGAAGACGCCAAGGGATGAATACATCTGCTCCATTGTGACCGATTTTCAGCCATGTCACCAAGGGTCTTCAACCACTTATTCCTATTCCCTCGGAGACCCCGGCCAGGCAGTCTACATCTCCCTACATAGCCCAGACCAACAGATAGGGACTTCATCAACTGATGTCACTTTTTGTTCTCCTTACCCAGACCAAGACGTGACATCAGTTGATGAAGTCCCTATCTGTTGGTCTGGGCTATGTAGGGAGATGTAGACTGCCTGGCCGGGGTCTCCGAGGGAATAGGAATAAGTGGTTGAAGACCCTTGGTGACATGGCTGAAAATCGGTCACAATGGAGCAGATGTATTCATCCCTTGGCGTCTTCTAAAGCTTAAATATTCACATTAACCTTTATCTTCAGATTGTATATTCTCTCACATTACATTGTCTACCTTGATATTACTCTTACTCTACCCACTTGTTCTTTGTATACTGTTGCGAAGTATAGCAACTTGAGTCTATGTGAAAGGTTCTGCACTGATTCTGTCTGTTTGTTTCATTCATAGGCCATCAAAATATATTCACTCTTAAGTTAGTATTAGTTATATTAAGGTATTATATCGCTCTTGTCAAAATTCTTATATATACTAGCATCTTTTCAATTTTCTTGCAAACAAAGCACTGTAATATTGTTAAGGTTAATTTAATTTGTGCGATGTTGTACATTCAATTATTCATTATATGTTAAAATTTCCATCTACGTACTATCGATCAAATCAAATGTTTACTTTCAGCTGACCTTCAGTAATGTGTCAGTGTTAACTCGATTAATAGTATGTGTAGTTTAATCTGTCTACTGTAATTTATGAATTTAGATATCACATTTAAAATACTGTTGTATTCACCTTCTCAGATTGGATCTTAAGTAAAAGATATCAAATATGAAGGAGAAAAATTGTAATAGTTGATTAGTTATCTGTCATATGCATGATCATAGATACCTGTTTTACTAATGATAGCCTTACTTAATTAACAGTTATTGTGTGATTTGCTAACAGTTTAATTTCATGACTATTCTGAAGGATAATATTATAATTTCCATTTTATATGTGCTGTTTAATCTTATGTAAATACTTTCCTGTTTATGTATGCATTTTTTTCTCCCTTCTTTCATAGATAATTGTCAAAGATGGTGGTCTGAAACTTATTCAGGTTCAAGATAATGGTTGCGGTATCCAACAGTCAGATTTACCAATTTTATGTGAACGTTTCACTACTAGTAAATTGAAGGTATGTAGTTATGGTTATTTCTTGTATAAAATCAACTGACTTCTCATTTGTCTTCAGCTTTCTTGTGGTGGTTTGTGTCAATGTGATGAAGTTAAGCGTTTGAATATTAAGTGTCATAATATCTCCTAATATGTGGAGTCAAACACTATATTTTAGTTGTGGAAAGTGACTGCGTTCAAGAAATTTCAAGTGTCTTTGCATTTCTGAACTTGATACAAGGTAAAATTATGGTCATCTTACTCCTTACTAGAGTTGAAATTGAATTAGATTTGTTGTGTCATCCTTTCCATGCTGCAGTCCCCGAGGGTTTGGAAAATATTTCAATCACTTTGTTTTATTTTTGGTTATTATGTATGGGGGTTTTTCCTTTTCTGTAAACCATAATGAAGTACATAAATTAAAGAGAAGGAACTCTGATTCCTTGTTTCAGTATCTTGACATAATGGACAGAAATGTGGCTCATCACACATTAAAAGTTCTTTGGTCGCTTAGTGATCTTGGCATCGTCCTTGGCTAACAGTCGTGTTATGTAGTTAGTTCACAATTAGATTATTCGCACGTAAGTAACAGCTTTTTTCAGTATGAATGGTCACAGATCCATTCAGTCAGTTTTCCAGCACTTCTAACTTTTGGCACATATCTATTTGTGGTAGTCACTATTTAAGTGTGGTGAACCAATAGGTATCAAAGCTATTATCTATGTCTATTTAACTATCTTTACTGTAGTGTTTATCTGAACGCAGTTTAATCGCCTTACAAAGTCAAGCATATCCCATTCAGAATGTGGACAACTGAAGATGAAATGAACCATTCCTTAAAGTTTTCTGTTTATCATCTTCAATCCAGTTCACTTACGAGGTAGAACATGAACAAAGAAAATTAGTTATGTTGAATTGCAGAGTAAGACGAAGAGCCGATGGTAGTTTAGATAATATCGTCTCCAGGAAACCAATACATTCTAACAGTTATCTAGACTTCAAGTTATCTTATCCAATGTCAATTAATGAGGGTTTAGTCGAATGTCTAAATGATAGAGCTAGAAAACTTACTAGTCAATGAAAGGACTTAAACAAAGGATTGAAGCATATAGGAGAAACGTTACAGTTATAGTTATAATAATAATAACAATAATAATAATAGAAATAATAATAATAAAGAAGTTCATCCGAACACATAAGAAACGAAATAGTAACAGTAATACGAATACAAATAATGACAACACAAGTAGAAAGGAGTTTAAAGCCTCTATTGTGTTACTTTATCAGGAAAGAACATCAGAAACTTAATGTAGAATTTTTAACAAGACTAGAATTAGGATGGCATTTTAACCTACAAACTCAAAGAGAATCCGATAGATCTGATGAAGGAAACTGATTGTTTTTAATTTATGAATAGAAGACTCCCTCCTTACATTATCAAAGGGTTAAATGAACGTGTTAATCCTTAGATGCAAAATTACCTCTGAACGCGAGAGAATTAGATTTTAGTTATACATTTCTAGTCACTCATTTACGAGTGCATGCGTGATCAGAAATATGTTGCATGAATGCATTACATGATTCAGAAAATCCACATCTTCGTATTGTTTTATCGAAGATCCAATTAAGCAAAATTATCTAATCTATCAAATTCCATGCAGTGACTGGGAAGTCAAGTATGTAGGTCAAATTAGTCTGTTGGGGTCAGTTTGATTAGCGGAACATAGGAATTTAGCTAAATGTAGAATGACATATAATGGAAAATATTTGTAACTCAGGAGGATTGTCTTGTTGGTGTTGTGTTCTCTGAGCTGAATGGTTTAATCATGAAGTTTTCATTATCATTCTAGACAACATCATCAGCACAAACTTCAAAAAGAAGTTTGTTTATTTACTGTTTACAGTTAAATTGTGTTATCATTTACCAATCTCTTTTCATAATGTTTGCTTTCACCACTCATTTCTAATCAAAATTATTTTCTATGAAACTGATATGAGATTGGAATTCAGAGCGATTATGTTATTCGTGAAGTTGTCACACAGTACTTGAGATGAACATTCCGTGTGGGATACTTGCGCTATTTATTTGTTAGCTTTTATTGAACTCATGAAGTAATGATAGGATGTCTAACTTCCTCATTGGGTGTACGATGAATCAACTTTATTGTCGCATTAGCAATTCAGTGAAAGATTAAGCAAACTGACAGGACATTTCATGACTGATTGACCCTAGACATCTAACTTATGTTAGTGTCTTTAGATTATTTTCGTCTTTCATTTGGTCGTATTCATATTTTGAGAATTTATGTTTTGCCTTTAACAAAACTCGACAGAGTTTATCTGAATGGACTTAACTTATGTATTCAAAAACGATCCATATAGTTCCTTTCTTTACTCTGGTTGTCGATACAGCTTAACCCAACACAACTTATTCAGAGATGTCCACTACTGTAAATATGTTTACTTTTTGTTTGTTTCCTTAAGATTCTTATTGCTCAGGATTATGAGAACTACCAAATAAGCTACGACTTGTTTTGGTATTCATAACTTTATTATGTGTAATTACTTTGTTTTTAGTTGCTGCCTTAGTTTCCATCAATAATTACCTTTCTCTTCAAATCGCGTCAACTAAGCACCACTATATTTGTGGCTTATGATATATAGGAAAAAATGTTACATGCAAGCTGAATGAAACAGAATATTTATTGGCTCAAACTACATTTTTCTGGATGTTTTTACTTGATCATTATTTCTATTCTTGTGTCGAGAAAGTAACTATCATTAATTTACATTCAATAGATAACTTTTTAATATAATTTCACGATAGTTGTTTTGTAGGAATTTTCAGATTTAAGCAAAATTTCCACATTTGGTTTTCGTGGTGAAGCCTTAGCTAGTCTTAGCCATGTTGCGTGGGTAACTGTTACCTCACGGACAGCAAATCAAAACTGTGCATTTAAAGTCAAATACCGTGCAGGAAATCCTGATTCAAAGCCATTACCATGTGCTGGGAATCCTGGGACTACTATAGTTGCTGAAGATTTATTCTATAATGCTCCTATGAGAAGATCAGCTTTGAAAAATGGACGAGAAGAGTTATCAAGAGTAACAGATGTAGTTGCTCAGTAAGTTGGTTTAGATGATTCAAGTTATTTACTATGGTACCGAATTTTATTCCTCTTGACCAAATGACTTTGGATACCTTGGTTGCGAAGTGTTTCTTTTTCTTATTTAATCACACTACTTAAATATGATTTAAGTAGCTAAAATTAGTTGCATTTTTCTGATTCGTGCGGTGCTATTGACCACTACATACACTTGAAATATATTCAAAGTGTAAAGCGCCGTACTCACTTGTTCTACATAGGAATTAAGAGAATATACTCCAGTGATGGTTTTTTACCTCATGAAAATATGCACGTCTGCTAGAAGTCATCCATATTACGGCTTTTCAAATGGCTTTTAATCACAACACAATTTAGCTGCAAATTTATGATACACCATGATGAGGATAATTTTCGTTTGATTTTTGTGACCGAGTGGAAGTAGCACGGCAAGAATAGCTCAAGGTGATCGATGAACATTTTGATCATTGTGGTGGACGGAATTCTATTATTAATTCTCTAGTCGCATATTTCACATAGCAAAATGATATTAACTTCTGGATAGTTTGCTGAAGAGAATCTATTGTTATATATATATATATATATATATATATATATATATATATATATATATATATGTATATATATATATATATATATATATAACAGCTCTACATCTTCCAATCTCTGTTTCATTCTTCTATTTCTCTGCCTCCATGTATTGTACGTGCAGTAGGAGTATCTCGAATAGATGTCGGCTTATTCTTATTGCATATATTCAGAAAACAAAGTTTCAGTTAGCAATCTTCCCCTCCACTTTGATAAGTTAGCTTTTAGGGTTGTCACTTTCTCCCATCCTATTATGTGGTTGCATGCATTGTTTTGATTTAGCTTTTCTTCAGATTTATTGCTTTACCAGGGTCTGCCATTCTAGATTTGGTCAGCCTTCTTGTGATTCATTATTGTAATTGATTTCAGTAGACTACTCTGACCTTTGTACTTGACTCTGCAATCATTGCATGAGTTGAACTCTTTTGAATCCCTTAACCTGAATGGCTTGTTCCTTAGTAACTCTCTAGGTTTAAGTGCTACCTTAGTCCCAATCCTGTTGAGTAACCTTCCTTATATAATAACACCTTAGAGGTTTTGTATTCTATTTCCTTAGTGTCGCCATCATTACTGTGTATATTATCTATATCTGTGCTACTTATCTTTTTCTCGCAACTTCTTATACGTTTCTGCATCAGTTTACGATGATAAATGTTGAGCAGTAAAATTTCTATTTTATTCTTAGCTACTTAGACATTTCACGTTATTATTCTGACACTTCAATAAACCTATTTGAACTGCCCTGAAGTCTAAATATCGAATTGAATAAATAGGTTTCCTGTTGAGACTAGTGTGTGATTGCATATCTTGCATCATCTCTGCGAAAAGTTATTAATTACTTAAATATTTTTTTTTAGGAAAATCATTTCATCGGCTACATTCTAGTTTTCCTTCCTAATACCATTAATCGTAAACGATACCTAATTGTGTTCAAATTTAATGATTTCCTTTTCAAACTTTTAATTCATTAGTTTTTGTTATTATCTCGGTGGAAATTTGAAATAGTTACTCTATTTTATCAACTTTAATGGAGTAACCGGTAGTTGAGATTTTTCTGGGAAATATGATCCATTCCTACTGTGTATTTTAAGTAAACTGATCACGCATTTACTTGCCAAAGTATTTTTATATGTGAAATACAAAAACGTGCATATTAAGGATATAAAGATAAGAAAAGCAGCAATAGGAGAATAGTAAGTTTTGACACGGCTTGTGGTAATGATTACCATTGGAAGTTATGAGAGAAAAATTGCTTTCAGATACACTAGAACGCTAAGTTTATATATAGTGAGTACTTCAGCGAATGTAAGTAGGCATGCCTGACACTTCCTTTTTTCGAAGAAATAAGAAAATAGGAACCTTAGAAAATTTTTTTTGGCTATTCTGTTGTATTTATTTAGCAGCATTATTGCATAGATTGACTCAGGAGTTTTCTATTGACTTGTCACTCACTTCCGTGAGTGATGAGTCATGGTTAGTAAATAGCCGCATGTAAAGTCAATTATTTCACCTTATTCCATTTCTTTTGGTTGTGTTGCGTTCTTTGAGCTGGATGGTTTAGTCGTGAAGCTTTCATTGTCTTTCTAGATATCATCATTACCGCTAATTTCAATATGAAGTGAAGATTTTTTCATGAGTGATTCAGTAGCTTGTTCTGACGAAGTGGTTTGTGATTAGTAGCTTCCTTTGATTGCTGTATCATTGGCTTCATAGATTTTCCTGTTGGCTGTTTTTCTGCCTGACCTCTGATCTTGTAGTTGTTTACTATTTTTCCTATTGGCTGATAGTTTGAATCTGTGTCTCCACACCATATGATTGCTGAATGGACTGAGTGCTACGCTTATAAGAATTCTCTGATATTCTTTGTGCTACCTCTATTCAAGATCTCTACAGGTAAAATTCATGTTCATAGTTGTTCACATACATGGGTATGAGCTAACTGGTTTTCACGTAAATGATGTGGAGGGCGACTACTTTGTCCAGTGGAGTGCTAATTGCAATTATTACAGTTGATTTAATAAATAATATTTGTTTTGTCTTCTTTGACTGTGGCGTCCTTTGGTCTGTATAATAAGGTTTGAAAAGAATTTGTTGTTCCAAATGGTATCAGTATTCTTGTGGTCTCTGATATGTTCTTTATATATGGTAGGGTGATCCGTTTGCTGATTTTTCTGCATAACTTTATGGTTGATGTTGAACGGGATGGGCGTCTTCGGGTACAGTTTCGTGGGAAGTCGATCTCCTTTAGGACAGACATTAAGTAGTTATCTTCGTTTCTCCATGAGGTTGTTGTGCTGAATTGTGTTCTTGCTCCTTTGAGTAGTCTGTACGCAACTAATTTTGAGTGTTGTTAGGTTGTTGCTACTGTAGTTAGAGATTTGATCAGTGTGTGTTGACTGTCTGTTTACCTAAGTTTCCAATTTTACAGCGTTGGTCCTATTGACTAGAAATCCAGGAATAGCAATTTTTTGTTCGACTCCTGCCCTATTATGTCGTTAAAAACGTTGTTGTTCAAACTATAAGTGTTTCCGAATTCGTTTTTTGTAATGATCATAAAGGTATCGTCCAAGTTGTGGATTCAAACTTTCAGTTTCACCACTGCTTATACAGTTAATCCAGATATCGGTGATCCCATTGGAATTCCTTTTATCTGTTTGTATTTCTTACCATCAAATTGAAGGTATGTTGTCAGACAAAGATTAATGAATCCTATCAAACTTAAACACCGAAGTTTTGTGTTTTCTGAAAGCCTTGTATTGTCAATGAGGAGGAGAGACATAATTTCTTTAGCCAGTATCAGTTCAACTGATGTGTATAATGCTGTGACATCGAGGGACATCATCAACTCGTTTCGTAAATTCGTGTCTTTGATCCATTTTCTACGTATCATACTAGGTATTCAGTCTTTATGATGTCTTGCGTTGTGGATGTATAATTTGGCTGTATCTGTACATGGCTCAGTGTCATGATTAAAAACATAGTAAGACGTTAGTCTTCATTTCTTATTATAAACTCGGAGCTGAAGAAAGACTGGTAGTTTAAAGGGCTTCAAATATCCCATATTGCGTTCAGCTAAGTTACTGACTCCGGCGTGGATAAAGTCCTGCAAGTGCCGACGGAATTTTGTGAGTGTCAAAGTTATATATTTCTCAGTTATCATTTGAACCATATGATGTGAGTTATATCAGGTCACTTACCGTTATGACTAAAGCCTTGAGGGCTGTTTTTAGCAACAGTTTCTCGACCCTTATCTATATTTCTCGCGGTAGATGAAGATGACTATTTATCATACTTACTTGTCAAAGTTTTAGAATCAGTGTTTTTAGCCATCTGGTTACATGTTCCACTACTTTCATGTGCTTATCTTGACTAATCCTCCCTATTTATCTGTATCCATATGCATAGATAAACCGGTAAATATAATTGGGATGTGACGTAATTGTTTGTTTAGTGTTGAGCTTTTGCGCCAAACCATATGTTTTGTTTTCTCATCTATCATAAGTACAGCTGCATAATGCGTTTTGATGATCGCTAATATTAGGAAATCACCAATACTCTGATACACTGATATAATTATTGATTAAATAGCTACTATAGCGACGCAACTGATATAGTTTTTTACTTGTCTGGTTGTTTTCCTGTTCATGTCTCCAGTATCAGACATGAGGGTAAATAGACCCTGATATAGTGTGAATTAATCTGGTTAAAAAAAGTTTCACTTTCACTATCAATTATCATCCAGTATAAAAAATATACGATGTCTCATACTAAGATGAAACAGCTGTTCAGTGCTCCCAGGTTTCCAATGATCCTCCAACTGATGTCAGTTCATGATGAATTCCAACCTAAAATCAATTAACAAACCTCCCTGAATCTCCAGATAGAAGAGATTCGGATACTGGAAGACCTAGGTTTAATTATGTTGTATTACATTAGCTGTTTAGTCAGTTTGGTAGTATAAAACTAAACCTGAAAAATGAAAACGTGCTGTTATTATTCCTGTTCGTGGTAATTTTCTTTACAAGACTATCTGAGGTTGCCATGGTTTGTCAGACTAGAATTATTAATACACGGTGGTGATTGAAATTGAAGTGAAATACTTGGTTACGGCAATATTCGAACTGGTAATCTCCAGGTTACCGGATACTCTTGAAAATTTTGACTGCTAGCTATGGTGGCTAGAGTTGCGTATGCCAATGACTCAGGGGAAAACACTTCTTTCTCTGAGTTCATACCATCCCAGTAAAGTTTGGTGGATGGAGGTAAGACAAAAAGCAGTTATTATGGTATAAATTGGTACGCTACGATGTAAGTTCCGAGTTTGAAACCGCAAGCCGGCTGACTAGAGGTGTGTCAACTGTAAGTTGGTTCTTGAGGATGACCAACAATGTCTTCTTGATCCTGCCGTCCTCATAAGAAGGTCGGGTTAGATAAAATAGATAGGAAAATCAACTGATTCCTAACTGCTCTGCAATCGTCAGTTACCAGTGATATGCGTTTTCTGGCTAAAATGTAAATCAGTCAATTGTAAACCAAACACTCCCTAAAAGGCTGTGTGTGAGCCTCTTCGAGCGGATATCCATTGGGCTCTGTGGTCACACAAATCTAATCCTTTTTCTCTTTAACACCTCATAAGAAAAAGTAATGTTCCACGGTGTTGACAGTCGGGAAGTGTCAACCACCTTCACAATTCTTTTAGCACTAAAGTCCCCTCAGAAAGCTGTTTACCTTCCAATATTCCTTCACGTCTTTCTGTCAGTAGTATTGCATCACTCCATTTTGCCATCTCTCCGGCTCTCGATTGAGAGTTTAAGTCATAAATCAGCATTCGTAGTCTACTGAGACCGCCCCTCAGAATACACATTGGAGCTTTCACTGTTTGTGTCCCATGTGGAGTCGAACAACAAGCTAACCGAAACTCGGGCATCTCGACCATGGACATTTGTTGTGTTTGTGGGATATACATACGTTACTCCAATGAAATTATTCAGTTAACCCTACCACTATGGTTAATGGGTAAAGTTCTCCATTCGAGTTTTTGAAGATTCTATGACTTGTTGTTACGATCTTGCAGATATAGGTGAAGAATTAAGTGTTTGGGCAGAAAGTGAACTGATTGACTAGATCCCAGTTGATATTCGCCTGTATGCTGTTCGGCTAAACGGCAAAGTGAAACTTGGCATTGTATCTTTGTAATCTCTGCTCATTTGCGCAGTGATTGCCGTTCGCATGAAGTGATAGATGGTTTCTACTGAAAACTGTGTAGTTTCGTACTGAAAGTCAAAGCTTAAATGTGGCAAGTGATTTCAGTGTCCGAGTGGGTAGGTTAGGTGAAGTAGAAAGGCATTTGAGTGGCCTTTTAGGAATCCTAGTGTAGCGAAAAGATAACGGCGATCGTCTGCTACGATTGTTTTCTGGGCAAGTATGTGTTTCTGACTAACATGAACTTCAACTATAAAGAGATACCTTTTTTGACGTTACGTTTGTCGACTTCAACTGAAGGGTGGGAATAGGTAGGTCATATTGCTACCATATATCTCTTGAGAGGGCTGGTGTAAAATTGTCGCTATTCCTGCATCACGTTTGTGGACAGCGATCATGCATTAGTTCAAGCAACTTGTATTTGTTCACCGAAATGAATGCAGTAGAACTTTAGCGTTAAGGCATTCCGAATGCTACTGGACAATGACAAAATTGAATCTGCCTTCAACACGGAGCAAGCTAAACAGGTGTTAAAACGGGACAAGATCAACTATTCAGAATAACTCTGGCATCATCGTCAAGAGTGGTCATCTAAGGCGTTGGAGAGCGTATGACAAGAAGATATTATCCCCTGTAACTGGCTTTACTCACTGATAACCTCAGTCTTCAAAAAAGAGGATAAATCCTCATGTGATAACCAAAGGAGAATCAGTCTGACGAGTACAGCGCCTAATGTCCTGGGTTCTGTAGTTATCCAACGTCTTAGTGGGGCTCGGGAATAGTAGACACGAGAAAGCCACTCAAATTTCAGTTCTGGTCGTGAGTGTATTATGTAGATATTGACCATCCACCAGACACATAGAGTGGTACCCTGCACTAGCTGTATTTGTTGACTTAGAGGCGGCTTTGGACTCTTTCAGTTGAATGGTCCTTTGTTAGTGTCCCTTACTGGAAGGAGAGCTAGGAAATTACATCACCCCGTTCCAGCCTTCGTATTTGAATATCTATGGTTTGTTATGACCATTGACGAGTTACCAGGTGACTCGCGTATTCCGACAGGCGTTCGTCAGGGATATCCACTCACTCTGTTCTTATTTAGATTTGTCACAGATTGTCTTATGGCGCTCTCCTCATTTCCCTTTGACACATTTTGACTTTGTTACAGGTGTCTCCTTAGTCGACGCCGAGTACGCAAATTACGTGGTCTTATTTGTTGAAAATGCCTGCAAGATGCAAAGTCTACTGAATACATCGAGTGGTAATTTTCGAATGTTGGGGAGGCATTTTTCACCACCCAAATTCAAATAGTTGCTCCACGACTGGTCTACATCGGTCATTCGTGTAAGAATAGAGTGACTGAATTTGTTGATGGTTGTATTACCCAGACCTCTCTGTCGTTGATATTAAATATCATTATGCCTAGATTCGAATAAAACTTTCATGTCGAACAATATAGTGTAGATGTGATGATAGTCATATATCACGGGTTTCATAATAAAATGCATAAATATTCATTCACGTATAAACAGTTACTTTTCTGGGACTTTCGGCTTTCAAGACTCGCGTAAAAAGGGTTAGATAATTGTTAATCTTCTATCCTTAAAAGTTTGTTAGCTTGATAAATCTTCCATGGTTATGACAAGTGGACATATGTTGTTGTTTACTGATCAGAACACTTTACAGTTAGGACCAGTCAGTAGGTATTGCGTCATACTTTTAGTGAGTCTAACTAAAAGCACCAGATAATCAACTTCAAGTAATTCGTTTAGAAATCTGTAATGATCTGCCATCCTTCGCCGTTCAAGGTCAGCGTCAGCCTCTTCTACCATCAAAACAGTTTGATATACTCCCCAGATTTTATTGCTGGTCAGTACTGAATATAGAACTGAGGTGCCTCATGCTTTTATTCTGCTTTTGTCAATGATGATATTAGGGAAGTGTTTTTCCAGTTTATTAAAGACAATGAAAGTGGACTAAATTTGGTTGATTTTGAATCCGTCATATTATTCATCTAAGATATTTGCGTTTGGTCAGGTGTTCGAATAATGTAGCAGTATGTCATTGAGAGCAAAGTAACAAAGAAAAACATCTAACTAGTCTTACCAGTCGATTTTAATTAGTCTGTAATTAATGTGAAAATTGATTTCATGCATTATAAGAAGTTCTGATCTACCTCATTGTTAATGTGGGGGACTGAATTTATCAGTTCATGTTGATATACACACTTCTTTGAAAAACACCTCGACACTGCATGCAGTCAAATCCAGTAGTTTGATCGAGGACTCACTTCGCATCATGTTTAAGGATCTGTCAGTTGGATTTACCTACGACTTAATCAGAGTTAATAACCGTGTCAAACCAGTAGCCTAACTCACAATGATCTGACACCTAAGGTGATAAAACGTATTCTTGAATCTCAGCAGGGACTCCAACACATAGTGGTAAATCTAGCTAAAAAAAATCCCCAAAACAGGACAAAACGAATATCATCATAATTAGTGGTGAAGAAGCATACCTTTAGTTTTCACTGGAGTGTTTGTAGATTGTCAATACTGGTATTAATTTCATTCTTAAAAAAGATACAACAATCCATTTAGATATGAATGTAAGTGAGGCTAGTTGTTTGGTCTTACAAATTCAAACCAACCGAAAGACACTGGAGCTGCCCGACCATAAAAATAAAGATGGGAAATTATTGTCTTCACCCAGCTAGAACTGATTATGAAGTCGACGACTTATATTAGGTGAGAGATTATGATGAATAAACTCAGCAAACACCGAAATTCCAAACTAAGTATTATGCGAAATGAAAATGAAAGGATTAAGCCCACTGATTTGCCAGAATATCAGATTGTGTAGAATGTACCTTTATATTCTAGTAGTATACAATATCTTCATTGCTATCTATTTATTTGTACAGTTTCAAAAAGTCTTTATTCATTTTTTCTAAACTAGATATGCTATTCATTATGCTCAACAGTGTGGATTTCATTTGCATTTTGAAAATGCTACTGGAAAAAGTTCAATAGAACAAGGTAAGACGTAATAATATTTCTACTTGCCTATTGTGTTCAGTTGAAGATAAGCCTGAGAAATGGTTATTTTGTGTAGAAGTAAAGCAATTGGTTAGCGTTTCACTTTCTATATTATTTCTTTTGATTAATGGGAGGTTTTAATTGGTTCATTTATATTTTATGGTGTAGTTCTGTTCGATTGCACTGATAAAATATCAGTAAGGATATAAAAAGCCTATTTCATGTTTGCCAATGTAAATTATCTTAGTGCCAGATTCATACTCTTGAAAAGGATCTTCCTAGGAAGATCGAAACGTTGAGGAATAATACAAAATATTTGTTTATTTTGTTATTTGTTCTAATATACTACGCCGGGATTACACAAGTAAAAATACATCCTATACAATGTATCTTCGGCACTGATAAGATATTCGACTTCTCATTGAAGTTAGGTTGTATTGCTAATCTATCAGAAAAGTTTATTAAAAGTAGAAGACTGAAGAGGCGACAATAGTTTATTCACATTCGTTTGCACAACTTTGCCCATATGTAATGGAATCACAGAACGTCGAATTATATTTCTTGTCTAGAGACAGAAGATTATTTCCTACTTATTTCTCTTCACTTTCCTTAATCGGCTACCAATAATCATATACAACACAGATATGTGCTTCGTTCTACAATACCGTTGTACGATATGATTATTGAAAGGAAATATTATAGGAAAGCTTTAAGTGTATAGTTTCTAGATGTGGTATCTACCAAAGAGACAAATAAGTGAGCAAAAGTGTAAACTTCGATTCACTGCAGTGACTAGGAATTATGATGTCTGGAAGCTGTAAGGTGGTTGAACACGTAGGCAGATAAAGCTGACAATTAAAATTAAGCCGTGGTCATTCTATGGTTTCTTTGTCTCTTCTACATGAAGAGCAAGGTAAACTAGGAAGTATTTTCGACTACTGGCAATTTACTTGTGTTATTATTTTTCTTTTTAATCTGAACTATTATTGGTTATCCGTTTTTCATTCATATCCTCATAATTTGGTTATTTCATTTTGTTTTGACCATCTTTTACTGGCTAAAGAATAGCAGGCTTTTATCTCAGCTCTACGGATACTTTATACTATCATACTGTTCGTCTTTGTTCTATCGCAGCAGTATACACACGTAAAATAAGTCGGAAACTGTGCTAATCAATGAGAACTATATATATTCTGTTGTTTTGAATCTTCATGTGTTCTCTTCCCCTTTTTGTAATTATCTAAAGTTTTCTTTACTTTTGCGTAGAATATTTACTGAGTAATCTAATAGAGTTATTAAATAATAGATGCATTGAATATATGTACCAGAAATTTTATTTACCTATTGATTTTTAACTAGCATATCTGTGTATGCATTTTAAGTTTCTACTTCTCTAGCATATATACTGAACCATATTAATGCTCTGTTAGAGAAGCTGTGGCTTACGCAGCGAAACGTCTGGAAAAAAAGTCTTGTTTTATTTTTTAAAAGGTGCTGGAATTGTATTTGAATATATTCTGTTATGGCATTTCCAATAAACTACAGACATTCATCAACAGATGTCTACGCTCGATACTGAAGATCAGATGGCCAGAAAGAATAAGCAACAAGGAACTCTGAAAACGAGCCAACCAAGAACCTATCTTCCAACAAATATGGAGAAGAAAATGGAGATGGATTGGATTAGGCATACACTGAGAAGGCCGATTGGGGACATCACGTGCTACTGAATCACTGTATTCCACTAGGAACCCAAGGGAAAAATAAATAAATAATATTCTATTATGTTGACTTTCAGTCTAGAATATTAAGTGACCATACGATATATTTCGTCTGAACTGAAAAGCCTACCAACTTTGAACCTAATAACACTGTAATATATTCAATCAGTTTTATGTCATAAAAGGACCGTTGAAAATGTCCTAAGACTACTGAAGTAGGCTATTGTGTGTCAGACGTACACATATTCCTAACAGTATTATTTCTACTCCTGCCGATGGTTAATAACTTACTGTTTTTCTTCCTAATTTTAGCCTTTCTAAGGCTTTTTACTTTACGCAGAATAGCATATAAAGTGTGAAGAGCAACTGAGTGTGCTAATCTTGTATCTACATTATACTGTTCAATACTGATTACAAAACCTCTATTGATTTACACCTTTGACGTAGAATAATTTACTTAATCCGCCTTTCTGTTCTACCAAAGCTGTGAGACCTAAATGTGGCATTGATAATCGGATTCCTGTAATATTTCCCTATCATCTGAACTAACCATATCAACATATTGTACATCAAAATAAAGGGGATTACATTTTTGTGCATTTTATCATCTATGAGTTATAAAGAGATGATACCGCCGATGCGAAGTTATTAACGCTCTAAACAGCCTTATTTAGTTGCTCGTCAAAGTCTATCCTCTATTGATCAGGAAGTATTTTATGTAATAGTTAATCCATTATCATCCTCTTTCGCTGGTATTACTGCTTATCTAACTTCTTCTCTAGATTGATTCCCCGAAATAATCATAAATATTTGGTTGTTGTGAATAGGTAAGAGTATCCTTCTGAACCTATTGACTGTCACTATTCTTCAACGCTTTATAAGCTACCAAGTTAGTTAGTTGAATGTACAGCTGAGATAATTGATGTCAGTTTTGCCATTTTCGTACCACTGTATTGTATACTCACACTCCCAAGCGCGTATCTGGTGAAATGTGAAATCAGCTTATTTCTCGAAAACTTTGTTTTGTTTCATATTTTTAAGTTTTTTGCAAAAATAAGTTGGTAATTTGTAATTTATAATATTTTTGTAGTTTCTAGGTTATCTGTTGCATTTATTATTTCATTGTTAAATTTTTTCGTTTTTTTCATTTGATAAATTGTACACCTGATTCACTAATTTCTTCTATGTATATTTCTTATTGTCTTATCTCTGTTTTAGTCAGTTGGATAAACCAAATTGTATACTGGGGATGACGTTGATACATACTATCAACTGTTTTCTCATCTTGTCATACATGTTCTTCTGTGATAAATCTATAAGCCTAACTATTATTCAGTCATATATCACTGCTTATTAGTGACTTTTTGAAGATAGATTTCTCAAAGTTATAATGAGAAGTCGTGATCTGTGAGGTCAACCAATTTGGGAGTCAGACGGGCACTTTCCGATGAAATCACGAATTGACAGAAATTCGTAAATTTGGACCACTGAATTTCAACCATATGACTGAGTGTTGACGTGTTCACCCGAAAACCTAATGGTCCTGGACTCAATCTCTCATTGAGTGATGACTTGAAAAGTTCCCAAACTGTCAAGTGGTTCTCCACTTTATTCCAGTTCGTAATGGAAACCACCTTGAAATCAATCCGTTCTCATAAACCCTCATTTTAACCAACCATTATGACTATATAGTTTAACGAGGGTTAGATATTGTTATTATTACCCATCATTTATTCAGTTTTACCTGTGTCATCTGATAGAATCGGATCGAAAACATAACTGTCAAGTAAAATAAAAGTGTAATTATATGAGAAAGTTTATTGAATGGATTTGATTGGTGTAGCTATCTTTTCTTCTTACCATACACACCACGATATAATGCCTGTTTCGGTTTTATAATGAATAGATTAAAATTTCCGTAGCATGTCATAAGTAGAAAATAGATTTATTTAACTCTCAGTGATAAGAACTTTTGAATGTGGTTCTACGCTATTCATAGAAAATATACCTATATCTGAAAATCGAATAGTTATTCAACACTGGCTTACATAATTTTCAATGGTGCTTTTTTTTTCACGTTTTTGTTGGTAGTTGATTAGTGTAATCTATACTCAAGTGCTTGTCAATTCATTCGTTCAACAATGGGACGGATGAAAATATTAATTTTCTCTACTCTTTTCCTTCTTCTTCATTTCTTCGTTTATAACTTATTTTAGATCTTCGTACAACTGCCGGTTGGTCAAGAATGGATGCAGTACGTGCGGTGGTTGGTTCGTCAGTGGCACAGAATTTAATCTCTTTAACTAGTTCACAGTGCTCATCATCAGAATCTACACGTTTGGCCGTGGAACGTTTCGGACTACGTTATGAAGGTCTACTTACAGCGCCGAACCAAGTTTCTTCTGGTAAGTGCTTCTTCTTGAAGATAGCTTTGATCATTAACTGACACCGACTAGTAAACTACTGAAAAACGAGGAAAATTCGATTGGTCTTTTATCCTAGTAAAAGACTTTTCATAAGAGAGTATCGACAATTTTAATGAGAGTGCAACCACATATCTTCAAGTTTTGTTGAAAGGATGTTCTTCTTTATACATGCACAAAATGTAGGGTCTTCCATAGGCGTTGAAAAAAAGAGTATGTTTGGCATGCGTTTTACTGGCAATTATCATATGTAAGATAATGCTCCAGGACTGGTCTGCAATCACTCCCAGTGTAATGATAGGAAGGGAAGTGGTTGGATGTATCGACCGTTCCACTTATTTGAGAAGCTGCATCAACCTGAACGGCCTGGTTGCTGACGGAATCTCAGCTTGGCGTCTGCCAGCTTGTGTAATCTATGGCGCCAACTGGCGAGAAATCTAACTATCTGTCGAAGAATGAATGTACTGTGAAGCGTATTAGGCAAGACATGCAAGTCGATTTATGTGGCTGTGAACCTGAGTCGACTGAGATGTCTTGGATATATACTCCTCACGCAGAGCCACCATCTACCTCGACGTTGCCATGCCAAGGAAATCTGGATTAGGTTGGACGAGAGTTCGTGGTGGCCATACCAAGACGCGTCACCAGTCAATGAAGTTCGTGACTGTTTATTGGTCTGAATCGTGTGGGATGGATGTCAACTATCTCTTGGGGGTCCTCGAGATGAAAGGAATCAGTGTTTGAGGACTGTTGGTGACATGAATGAAAATCGGTCACAGTAGGGCAGATGTATTCACTTCTAGACACCTAAAGCTTGAATATTCACACTAATTTTTATCTTCAGATTGTTTATTCTCTCACACAACTTTGTCTACTTCGGTGTTACTCTTATTCTATCCATCTGTTCTTTGTATACTATTGTGAATTGTAGCAACTTGAACCGATGCACCTGTGTGCGTGGTTCTATGTTGATTTTGTCTCTTTATGTGTCTTAAGATATCCAGTTCCAATCCAGTGGTTTATACTTTTCAGCTTTTGTAAATTCACGACTTATCGAGATCATATCTCATCAGAGGGGAGATCCATCTTCACTATTTTCAATAGTCTTCGTATCAGTCAATTTCGCGAAAAATAACTTAGCAATAGTTTGATCGTTATTAAATTCTGACTTCTAGATGAATTACTATTAGTTTTCTTTTAATCTAGGTCCACTTTCGGGTAAGTAGAACAGTCATTGTGTGGTAATAGGAAATTAGTTACAGGTTGGCCTATTGGTTTGTTACTCACCGATGATCTTATACTCCGACTTTTCGAGAATTTAATTGTAGAATATCTATTGAGTAAAGTTTTGTCATCTATATTGTCAATCCAGACATTTCATTTCTGATTCTGCGTGGACAGATGACAGGTTCATGGTTTCATAATATGCGTCAGCCTTCTTCTAAGAAAATAATTCTTTGGGAAAGTGTAGACTACAAAATCTTTCAACTTTTAGGCATTAAACAACTATCGTTTGGAAGAATAATACACCCTAAAGAATATCCGTAACTCTATTCCCCAAACTCTTGGCTTGTTGATTGAATTAGGTGTCTGTTCACAGATTTCATGTCATTATTTCATAAAAGTTTGAAGTTTACTGAGACTACGCTGTTGAATACGCCTAGTTGTTTTCTTGTCCAAGGTATCATGGTCGATAATCATGATAGAAAGATGACAAGAATTAGCGAGTTTATTAACCGATTGGGCAGTCTGCAATGAAAGACTAAGTTGCGCAATTATCCATACTTGTAATTTCTCATTGATTATTATACTGGACCAAATTAATCGGTTTCTGGTGGTATATAGACTCCTGAAACAGATACCTTGGTCTTCGTTGTTATGTTAGGTTGGTGATGATTTGAGTCTCAGTGGGAACAATATCACTTATTGGACTGAAGATACGTCCGACTGATGAGTTTAAAATAGGATGAAACGCCCCTCTGAATCCTACTTCTAGCTACCACCACTAAGTGAATACGTGATATTTATAACATTGGTAAATAATCTATGTGAGGATGTGAATTATTTCACTATCAGTGTAAATCGATTAGTCGTACCCATGCTACAGATGAATAAGTCAACTTGTAGGTAAAAAATGAAGTAAAATAATACAGCAAGAAAATACTACTAATTATCATGCAGTAGATCTTTTGCGAAGTAGCTATATTTTCCGCAAGCCAATATCAATAAACTCTTATTTTTCATGACTGTTTTCTGAATGGTATTTTTAAATTTTCAAAATATAACTCTACTCACCTAATTTTTTTTAAATAGTTGCAAATTTTTTTGACCTTTCATAATATTCACATAAATTAGGTTTTCGCACTTAGAAAATATCTTTCTTGATTCTCATAACCTTCTGTCAGTTAGTTGCCTAGAATGCTAACTGAATCATAAACAACCATTCAAAAAAAAATCAACTTGTTCTACTTATGTAAAGATTAGATTTCGGTTGTTTCAGTCATGCTTCATATTTTATAATGAATTCATTGCAATCTCTTATTCTTGTAGTTCTTGTTTTTTGGACCCCAGTTGGATGGTTTATTATTAATTTGGTTTATAGATTGAAAGCAGTAAGGAAAGTGGAAGAGATATATCGTGTGCTTTTACTGTTTTGAATTTGTGCAAGCGTGAAGAGGAGAATTCAGAATCCAATAGTTAATATTCTCACTTATGACACTTTTGGTTTACTAAACAAAAATGCCCACACTGTATACTTGACCTTTAATCAATAACAGTGATATTTTGATATTTCGTTCCTGTGATAAGCGGATTTTGGCAGGGTGATTGTGGCTCAGTGATTTATGGAAATGACTATCAACCAGTAGATCGTTGGTTCGAACCCTGCTCTGTCTACTGAGGTTTTGGCACCCAAATTGTATCACTAGCCTTAAAACAATAGGTGAGACTCATTACATACTACACGCATGTGCACAAAGTGGCTGAGTGCGTTTCGTTTTCGTTTGTCGTTTGGATTTTTGCAAGTTTCATCTTTCAACAGAGTAGTAATAGTTGTATGTATCCTATCAACTGGAAGGTATTACTATCTAGATTTTTTCAAGAGAGCTTATTCCACTTAGTCATAACATACCTCTGGCATTTTTTGTGTATGAATGAAATAGGATATTGATAGTAAGGAATTATTTTCAAAGTGATATTTATGATAGACTGACATTACTTGGAGAACCATTGAGAACTTTGGAGCACTGATCAGCAGTTTCTTCTTTTTATGAGATACTTAAGCATTGGTCACCTACGAACCTGTCAGGGATCAAATTCAGGACACAGAAGTCTTTCGGTAGGTACGTCACCATTCAGACAGGGAATCGGTGTCTAACGGTCCCCATAAACCTCCAAACTGAATAAAAAATTAATCCATATTCTAAGGATTATGCGAGTAAGAATTAAGGAAACGAAGATACGTCTTGGGATTAATAATGAAATACTCAATAAATATTTTTTCAGTGGAAATAATAATAATATTTCATTTGGTGTTTTTATGCGTGTACGCTTCAATATAACACTCACCTACACTTTAATTCTTCTCGACAGAAAGGTCAGCTACTGTGATTTGCTAGACTTTCGGAAAAGACTGTATCTTTGACATAACAATTGTTAAGTTCAAGTCTTCTTGAAAACATCAAAGTCCAGTGCTATTAAACCTAATTTGGTCATAGATCATGGTGTCAGAGATCTATGAAGTAAAAATTGTTTTCATCCTTTCCAAACTGTGCCTTCTACTTTGTCTTATTGATCAAACTTATTTGTCTCAATAACCAGCTTGAGCTGCATTGGCTAGAATGTTTGTTCATTTAAGTCTTAATACTCCAAAAAGATAGGCTGGCGGATAAGTTGATGCCAGAAGAAGCTGGGCTCACAGTGAAATACGAGGGAATGAACTCCGGTTCCTGTTTTTGACTATCAAGAAACAAAATAGTACAACTATATCAACAAGTAGCGTGATTTTTCAGATTTTTCGAAGAAAAGTGTGGTACTGGCGGATTACGCATAAATTATCCTTCATTTCATAACACCACATCATGAGATGATTACTTCTTTACTTCTCTGGGTCCCAACATTCTTATGGTGACAGGTGTAATATGACACTAAAATAGTGGTTGAGCATCTACAGCCGCAAAAGACCGAATCTTATAGGTGTAGAGCAGAGCTGCTCACATTGCAGGGTTGTACTCTTAAATGCTGACTACTAGCTACATCTCGAACAAATGGATGATGGGTTATACTTGATACGATGAAATATAGTGGTCACTTTGGTGATTAGCAACAATGTGTTGGTCAAATCGTGCATATTCCTGAAATTTTCTTAACTCATGAAAAGTATATCTAAATGTCGTCTCTGAACTCACCTGTGCAATGAAAATGTCAGGAGTGTTTATAGTAAGGAACCAGTCAAATGATCATTGGAGTATAGTTGAAGTTTTCCCCATAATAGTCCCATATAATTCAAAATCTAAGGTTCTAACAACGATAATGAATATGAGTAGCTTGAACAAGTGAGCACATAAAGACTCATCTAATGCCAAGTACGATAAGAAGCAAAATAACCCAACAAATATTTGCTGTGATGGTGCTGACTCTGTAAGCTATGATGGACAGTAGTTCGGACACACTAAAAAGCACAACTGGAAATGAATGAGTGTTAGCCTAAGCATCAGACTACAATGTAACTTTCGGACTAGGCAGCTGAAACAGTTTGGATAACATTATGAATTGTTATTAGAGTTCGAGTTGGACTGGAAACGCGTCACTTAGACCTTCAATTTTTCGTAAATCACAGGATACTGTTTCACTTGATAGTGTTCAGTTTTGTTGAAATTTTGTGATGTGAAGTCATATTATGAATTTGCTTGTCATTATATTTTGTATTAGTATTAACTGTTGAAAATACCCCTTGGTGATAAATACTGATAAGCATGAAACTTAAGTCATAGGCTTCCTATCAATTTCCATTAACGACCTAAGAAGATACTATTGAAAGCTTTTTGTTCGAATATTCTTAGTTGTGTTGAGAATTATGTTACTTTGTCACTTGAATTGGTTACTTAAAAAGAATATTTGAAAAATGGAAGTGTACAATCTTTTTGAGCACTGTATGGTTTTTTTTGTCTCATATCAGGACAGTGGTAGTATTCATTATGTTCTGAGGTCAGTTAGAGAACCATTGAAAACCTGGGAGGACAGGACAGTTGCTTTAAAGCCGCTGTATGGAATTCTACCCTATTTCAGTCAACTACCATGAATAATTGTTAGAGTTTGATCAAATAATTTATTATCATTTTGACTATCTGCGTGAGAGATAACCGTGGTTTGGCAGACTAGTATTGATACTGGGTGATGATTGAAGGTGAAATGAGATTTCGGTTCGCGGTGGGCTTCTGAGCCTGAAACCCGATGATCGCTACTTCGAGTCCTGCTGCGCCAAAATAATTTTTAACCAAAGACCCATGTGGGAATCATAAGTCATATAAGGTGTGAAAATGTCAACGCTTTTTAGCTTAAACATTCTCCAATAAATTATTTCTTAATGTTTTGGTCGTTTATATCATCAGTTTTTCAATTTTTTCCGTGACTTACCTTTTATAGGTTGTACCCCTTCTTTAAAATTTAATCTCTTCATCAATAATCGTTTGGTGCAATGTACACCAATAAAGCGTGTTGTAGAATGTGCTTATTCAGTTGTCATTTCACGTGCTTTATCCTCTCACTCAAATGATGATCAGCAAATGAATAGAAGTCGAGGTACAAGTACTACAACATCATCATCAGCAATTCGAGCGTCGTCTAATTCAAATTTTATGTTTAAATCTTCTACATGTAATTCATTGTATGTGTACTTAAATATTCAATTACCGCCACATACATTGGACGTGAATGTACATCCTACAAAAGCTGAAGTACATTTTCTTCATGAGGTTAGTCCTCAAGTCTTGTTATTTATTTAATATTGTTGTAAGGAAACTGTGAAAGTATTTTTCAATGCTAATAAATTTATCCATACATTGATTGGTCAGTAGAGGGGCAACCATTTTCATGTCTAGCTATGAGTGCTGATCGAATTCTACTGATCATTTTGCGATGTAACCATCAAGCTACTTAACTCATCTTGACAGATGTTAGTTGGTTGAAGACAATCGGCAGGAGGGCCTTTGCTGAGATTTCGTGGTTGTTCGCACTCGTCAGCAGGGGTATCCGCAACCTCGAAAGAAGTTATGTCACCTCTGATATTCAAAAGAGGGTTACCCAGTGTTGTAGTCAGTGACGTTACTACTGACATTTGAGCTGCGAACAACCTCGAGTGAGACGGTATTGGATATATTGATTAGTCACTGGAGCGCAGCCAATTTCATGTTTGGGCGCGATGATCCGTGAACACGTTGACTTTTGTCCAGTTATTGAGATTTTGGATTTCATGTAGACTAATATACACTAAAACTCACTGGTATCATACTGACTTTTATTCTATTATATATGAACCAAATGTTGTATTTTTTGAATAAATTATAGTATATGGTAGCTTAAATACAAATAAGACAGTGAAGTGGACTATAAACTTATGAAATAATGTTAAAATGTCAACTATCTGAGCTAATAATTCGCAGTCGTACCTATATATCATGTCTTTTCCTTCGATGTCGTGTGACATAGTTCTTCATAGGCATTACTTAGTAGTTTTGTCTAATTTTTAATGTCGTTAATGACACTAATAGAAGGGTCTCTATGTCTTTGTAGTTGATTCTCATCAAGAACGCTACCTAATGAACATGGCAGCTGCCTAATAATCATTGATATTTCAGTCATTTGGTAACTAGCATCAGCTTGTGATATATACCATTATTAAATATCTTTCTGCTATTATTAAAGATACTATCTTAATGCTTAACTCAATCTTTTCTTAAGTAGGGTTCGACATTCGACCTAGTGGTTGGTAATGCGTTTTTTAGGCTTATTTAATCAAGATTCCAACGCACCTAATACAGTGTGTATGATTTTTCATGTAAGGACTATATATGCTTGAAGTATAGTTTCGTGACAGAAACTTAATGACAACAAATCAGTTTTCGAATTCCATATTACAAAGTAAACATCATTCATTCGCGTCCCCTAACCATGTTGACACTGCATAAGCTGCATATAAATCATGACTGGGACCACGTTGTTGGTTATTTTAAGGGAATTTGAATAAGTTTTAGAAGAATTAATTGTGAATGTAGTGTAGATATGGCTTTCTTACTTAACAGTATGATAAGAACTGGTTTTGTCTTTCGGTGTCCGCTGTCATGAGAAGAAATTTTTATGAAAGGGATCATTTTTCAGAGGAATTAACTTTCCAAAAAATAATGTTTTTAGTGCCACATTGGGTTGTTGCAGTATCTATAATATCCCCAGGAGCACTAAGAGCTACTGGCTAAGTTTCAAAAGGTGTAGGAATATCGACACTTCAGATGTGTTTTTCCTGAAATAATACGCAGATTGATTGTTAAGTTTGGAGGAGTAGGTAATATAGTGGAAATAGATGGATATCTTGTTCGGAAATGTAAATATAATCTAGGAAAGCGAATTTAACAGGAATAGTTTCGTTACATACATGTCTTGACATATTGCTGATTCTTGCATGTGCTATAGAAATCCAAAGAAAAGGCACTTTCATTTGATGAAAGGTCGATCAGAATGATCTATCCTATCAGTTGAAGACAAATGGGTATAATTAGGTACTGCCATTTATCCAGATACTTTTAAACCATATATATTTGTTCGAAAGAAGGACTTCATTGGTTATACAGCTGGAGTACACACGAACGACGTTAAAAATATGTGGAGTCTTAGAGACTTTGGACAGGGTCACGAGGCAAAATGATATAGTTTCATGTAGGTGAATGGTAATGCAAATGTTATTATGGCTTCAACGATGATAAACCTACTGAAAATCTAGAGATCGTCGCTTCTCAAGTGAAACAAATGCCATTTCGATTATTAACTATCAGGTCCTCCATACACGGGCTCCTGATTGGTCAGTGCAAGCTTGAACGTGATTGGCTGTCACAAACGTTTGGTTGAAACTTGTCTTTCAAATAATCGTTTCATTTCACTAGGTGTAATGAAATGTGGCAAGTTTCTGCTTCGACTCTTCATAAGTCGTAATTTTAATGTAGAACACTTGAGACGTAATTGTTTGATGACCTGTTCAATTACTTCTTTTTGACAATGCAACCTAGCTATGTATGGGTTTTATCAACTATAGAATATCCCGTTTAAGGGGTATTTCCTGAACTGCTTCTTTAATTGAATCATGAAGTAATTTCTGCATTTCATACTAACTTAAACTTGTAAATTGGTATCTAGCAACAAGAAGATCTGTGATTTCATGTCAAATCAGAGTCATAAAAACGTACTGTCCACTTGTGTACTGAATCGGAAAAATTCAGTCACAAATGTTCAGACATACATTTTTGTATGAGTGCGAAAGTAATTATTGTCATGTTTTTAAAAAGGTCACCACTATGATCACGATGATACATTCAGTTTTTCCGGGTGTTTTTAGGGTTATCCTAACTAGTAATGAAATAGTTGATTAGGTTTCTTTGTTTTCGATAAAAACTATCTTTCTAACCGAAATAAATAAACCCTACTGGTTATTACCTGGATGGACTTTAAAAATCACTCATTGTCTCATGGGTCTGTATATTAATTACATATGACTTAGACGTACTGATATGACTCATTACTTTATGGATGGGTCAACAGTCTGTTCAAACAACCATGTTCCCCACATCTTCATTTTCAGTCTCAATGCAACTTATAAGTATCTGTATTATTTCATATTCATTTATTTTTAATTGAACAAACTGCAGCAACTAATTACTCCTTATTCATTAACCGCTTATCTATTTTTTGAACTTCTTGATTTACCTTGACTAAAACAGTTCAAAGTGTTATGCAAATTTTCTCTCTGATGATTTCGTTTCAATTGTTAGGTATTTTCTTAGGTGGGTGTTGCAATTAGGTCAATCTTTTCGACTAATAATTGTAAGAAGAGAAAATTATTTTAATTTTTTATCATTACCACTTAATAATCATTTTGTTATCATTTATTTGTTATTATAGGATGAAATTGTTAATGGGCTGCAAGATGCTGTAGAACATGCACTTTTGTCTTCTGCACAAATTCAAACATTCATCAGAAATCCATTGTCAACATCAGTCACCTTCAGTAAGCGAAGAGAAACCATTGGCCCTAATGAATCGGTGATTACCAACTCTGAAGATCTTCAATCATCACAATCTGTATACAGACCACATGAGAAAGTGCGAATTGATATTCGTCAACAACAATTGGAACGTTTTTTACCATCACCATCGAATTCTAATGCTAATAAAGCTGTTAGTAATTATATTACTAGTAAAACTGGGACTATTGGTGAGAATCTGTTGAAGAAGGCAGTCGGTGATATGAGTCCAGATATTGAAGTTGATTCTGATGAGGCTGATGAGATATTGAAGTCAGATTTCCAACAAAAAGAAAGTTCATTTATTCAAGATGAAGTTAATAGAAAGATTGTTGAGTTAGTTATTATTTTGTACACCTTTGTTAAGACATATATTGAACATATGTTCATGTTAATGCATAAATTCAAATATTTTATTACTGATTTCACAGGATATTGAAGACTCTTTAAACTGCACAAATTGTCCAACTTTCAGCGTATCCTAACAATCCTTCAGGTCAGAATTATCTTTGAACCAGTCACTTTGTTGAGTACACCAAAATAATAGTAACGGAATTGTGCAATTTCTGTATGGATGACTAAACATTCACGATATATTGATTTTGTAAGATTCATTAGTTTTCACTTTGATTTATTTTATGAACCACGTTTTAGAAGATAAGGGTTGTAGAAGAATGCCAACGATGTTACCAATCCACTATAACACTTTTCAGCGTAGAAAAATAGTTTATGGCAATCATCTATTTGTTCAAACAGAACAGTTTGGAAATGAAGCATTTTTTCTTCCTAATGAAAATAACCACTGGGGTTGTAAGAAGTTGAATCTAAATTGTATTACAGTTATATGTTAGTTTTGAAATATAGTTCATCATGTCTTTACAGAAACTGGTACTATATGTATGGTTGAAATTGCCGTTTCACACCCTTATGTTATCTCATGTACTCAGGCTAGACCTCCTAAAAATTAGCCTATCATTAAAACCAAATAGATTTGAAGTATCAGTCTAGGGTATTTCGTATGCTGTTGTTTGTAGTTATTTACAATTAAAAAACTAAAACTATGAATAAAAAATATTCTAATACTGCTTTATATATATATATCTGCTTTCTTAATTTCTAGATCGGATGTACGATCTCCATTGTGTGATCAGTCATATCAAACAGTAGACGACAATATTCAATCAGAGGCTAGTACATTACACAAGATTGAAAGTCAATCACATTTGAATATTACTGGTGATGATGATAATAACAGTATGAACGAGAATACTATCAGCTTAACATCTCGACCTTTAGTAAAAATGGATACAATTTCATCATCTTCACAAGATCCTTCTAGTTTCCTTAGTAAATCGAATACACTTTTAAATTATTCAAAAGATATTGTTACTGAATCTTCACCTTCTTCATCATCAATATTCTCATCGTCATCATCATCAAAAGCACAACATCGTAAAGTATATTTAATGAGTATTCTTGCATTGAAACGTAATTTAGAATGTGATTGTGACCGATCGATAAAAGTTATCTTACGTTCATGTAAATTTATTGGTCTCATTGATGAGACCAGCTGTTTAGCTCAACATCATACTGAATTACTATTAATTCGTTTAAAGCCATTAACTCAAGCATTTTTCTATCAGTTATTATTAGTGAATTTTGCTAATCATGGAGAAGTGAGTAATATATTTTTAACGATTAACTTGAATTTTGCTATATTTCTGAAAGGTTGTTAAATATGCATTATAAGTATTTTAATTGGACCGGGGAAAAGATCCTAGAAGATTTGGATTTCGCCGATAACTTGTGTCCAATGTCACACAAACTTGAAGATCTGCAGGCAAAAAGTAACAAGTTGACAGAAAAGGCGAGGCAGCGAAAACGAGACTTCAAGTGAACGTAGAGAAGACAGAGATGATGATGATACACAACCAACGCCACCACCACCAACAACAAGCTTCAATCACCATCAACGGGAGAAACTTAGATGAAGTGGCTTCTTTCACCTACCTAGGCAGCATCGTTTCAACTACAGGCGGGGCACAGACGAGGACGTCAAAGCCAGGATTGGAAAAGCAAGACAGGCGTTCATTAGCCTGAAACCAGTGTGGAGATCTTCTGCACTCAGCATAAAGCGTTAACAAGATCCGGATTTTCAACACCGACGTCAAGTCAGTGCTTCTATATGGTTTAAAAACTTGGCGGGTGACGAAAAGCATTTACAACAAACTACAGACATTTATCAACAACTGCCTACGCTGACTCGTTACTGAAGATCAGATGGCGAGAGAAATAGGAATAAGCAACAAGGAACTCTGGCTGGCGACGAACCAACGAAGCAAGAACATATCGCTCAACAAATATGCACTGGAAGGAAGTGGAGATGGATTTGGCATGCACTGAGAAGACCATTCGGGGATATCACGCAAAAGGCCAGGCCGTCGAGTGAAATCCTAATGGGAAACGGCGAGTTGGGCGTCCGGGGTGAGGGTGGCATGGAGGAGATGGTGTGAGGAAGAAATGGGAGCTTGTTGGCTGTCATGGAGCCAGGTTGAAAAGATTGCAGAGAACGGAGTGGAATGAAGACGTGCTAATGAAGCCGTATGTCTTGCTAAAAACCGAAGGGACAAATAATAATGGTAATAATAATGTATTTCAATAAAACGTTCTATTGTTTAATAAGCTGTTTAAATATAACTTGTATGTAGCAAGTTATAAAACCCTGTGGCGTCGTCTGTTGTCAAAATCAAGATATACTGATGAAAGTAGTTAAGTAGTCGTTTTAGCATAGAAGTTAAAACTTATTCCAGCCATTGTAAAGATTTTAATTTCTCATGTATAGATTTCTTTGTAGGTACTAGTTGAAATTATGGATTATATATTGTGTAATGTAACAGTTGAGTAGAATAGCTATAAAATAGATTACTAGGTGATATGAAAGAATATTTCTAAAAGCATCATATGGAAGTTGTAACATCTATCCACCTTTTATCATATATTCCCATTCATGTTTGATTCACTTACTGCATAATTTATCTTGATTAAATTTTTTGTTGTATTTTTATTCGAAGTAACTTTTAAGCTTATCAGTAACTGTGATCCATGGAAGTATTAACTATTTCATTCAGTTCGAAATCATTTCTTGATTCTAGTTTAGCATCATGAAATAAGAAATTATCTCTTTAAGTACCAGAAACCATGTTTACAAATAAAGTTATTGAACAATATTTCTAAGTTCTCTCTTGTTTTGAACCTACCAGATCCTAATTTATCTATCTATCATTAAGGTGAAATGTGAAATAAACAGTTCCACTTGTTTAATAAATTCATATATCACGTGTTACAGATAAAACTTAAGCCGGATAATCCTATTTATTACTAAATGATTATAATTTCGATCAATTATACAGTACATTATGTTTATATGTATGCTAGTTATATGAAATGTTAATCAACTTCAATGTCTTTATATCATGTTATGCATTACTTGTATGACCTTCAAAAACTACCGACTTATCTGATAATTGTATGAACATCCCTTTCATCTTACACTTTTATTTGTTTATTAAACAATGGAAAAAAATTAACATTTATAAATTTTGATATTCAGTAACATTGTTAGTTATTACATTATAAATTGTTAATTTATCTTTTCTAGTTACCTACTGGTTCAAAAATTGTGTAATGATGCTGTGAATGAATAGTTTTGAAAGTACTCTAAAATAGAGGACTAAATTTAAGCCTATATACGTTGATTTCGCTTGAGTTCATAAGTACTGTTTTTATAATGATACTTATAATTTCTCATTGTTATGCAGGGCCGAATTTCTCGATCTCTGTTGGCAGATTAATATAGTGTGATGAATATCTGGTAGTATCGAATCACCTGCATGGGAACTCATTTGCCAACGGAGGTCGAGAAATTTGATCCTGTATAGCAACGGAAAATTACAAGTATCACTAAAACAGCCGCGATACCCGTTACACAAGAGGTGGCTATCGTGCCCCAGTGGCTTAATGGATAACACCCTGGCGTTTAGAGCTAAGGGTACTGGTTTGGAACCTCCATGGGAACAACACCTCTCACGGGGGTGCAGGTACACCCAGCTGACAATTTCCAAACAGGACGAAACGTGGGTTCTGGATTCCTCTGCTAGTCATCAAGATCAACACACTGCTTTTGTGGTATGAAAAATGACAACTTTTCTGACGAAGAGTTAATGGAGCATGTTTCTTCAATCTTTATATTCAGTGGAAAATCATAATCTTGTTGTTCAATAATGCTTAAAGTTGAAATTATCCTTGTGATCGGGTAGCGTATAAAACTTTATTCTAATGATATTGTGGAAATCCAACATTGTTTTGTTATCTTACGCACTGAACTCTTAAGTTATCAACCTGGAAGAAGATGGTGTTTTAAGGCAGCTACAGCTTGCAGTATGAACAGAAGCATATCTCCTAATCAATAAGTCCTAAGTAATCCAGTATTTGGAATCATTCACTACAGGTGTGCATTTGTGTGGTCGACAACCTTTTTCTGTGTATATGAACTGAAAGATAATTACTATTTTACCGAGTCGGCTACTATGTAATTTCTTGTGCTTCCAAGAGATGAACTCAGCACCTACTTCTTTGGTTCTTTGTTTGTTTACTAATTATATTTTTCTCATAAATGTTTATCTTTTTAAATTCTCCACATATTTTGCAGATAATTTTACGTGAACCAGCTTCATTGTCAGATCTTTTGTCAATTGGGCATGAATACCTTCGAAAGTCTTCACGATTATTGGCTGACCTAAGTACCTCGGAATTTATTAAAGAAGCTACAGTTACTTTAATAAAACATGCCCCTATGCTTTGGGATTATTTTTCAATCAAAATAACTACTGATTCTAATGGGAATAATGTGTTGACTGGGATTCCTTTAGTTATAGCCAAGTAGGTTTGTTAATTAATTTATTTATGAATAGGTTCATTCTGATTGGTGAATTCATTTTTCTTCTGGAAAACTTTTGTAAATTTAGAAGAATTGGTCATTCGTTTTGTGCTATTCTTGTGTTTGCGAATTGTTTGTATGTATCATCGTTTGTGGTATCTACGGGTTGCAGCAGTAGGCAGTTTCAACCTCCATCTATTGGACCATATAGTGAAACGTATCTTTCATCGCTTCTTATCTCAAAATTCGACATTTCTTGGTATGGAAGTGTTTTTTGTGCTAATTAGAAGACCCATCCGAGGAGTGATTACTGGGTTATAATGTTCTATACCACCAGATTAAAAACTTACACATGTTACACAAGATTAGTGTTTTTTTTTCTGTAAGTGGCTAAAATCTTCACCAGTATCCACTACCTTGGAATGTTGTTTAGGCTTGGATATCACCGTGACCCAGTATTAACAGTGCTGATAGGAAAATTTGTTCCATGAGGGAGGCCCTATCTATACCAGATACGCCTGTTGGATAGCTGTTACCATTTCAGTGTAATCAGCTACACTATAATGGGGATCCGAGAGTGGTGTTAAACCCCTGGCTAAACGAAGGTTTGTCACCCGTAAGGTGTTTCCCGCGACTGATCAGTAACCCATACTGATGTTGCCTTATGTATTGGAAAGTTCGAACCCTAAAATAAAAAGCTTCTTCCCAACCTGTGGTATTCCGTTGCCGTCAGTATGCATTTTTTTTAGCTGAATTTAAGTCAATCAAGATTTAACTCCAAACTTTCTGGAAGGCCTTATGTGACAGGCCTCTTGCATACTCCGTGGTCACGTAACATTATTACGAATCCAATTTTTTAAGGCACCTTGAGAAGTTTTAATTTTTGACGGATTACACAACCGGGAAGTGTCGATTACTCTCACAACTCTCAGTACACAAGTTCTTTTATCATTATCATCTTTGAATTCCCGGTTGGAGTCGGCTTTCCAAGCGAAATTGTTGGTTGGAGACTGAGCGATATGGCTTAGGATCGATTTTAGTAGTGTAGGCGCAAGCCCACATAACCTTATAATAATGATGGTGGACTTCATTACTGACTTATTCCTTCTTGTCCTCCTTTTACTATTCTATACCCATTTGACTACTTCCCTCCTTATTTCAGTATCTTTAATCGTGGTTCCTCCTACTTTGATGTGGTGTTGTGAGGCGTGACAGTTTGGATTGATCAGTCAATTGAAAGTAACTAGCTTCATGTTGTCTAGCCTTAATTGCTAACTGAATTCTATGCAGTGTGGTCACCAGGCTGGAAGACTCACCATAGTAGTGCATTTTGATTGATAGTAATGAGGTGATTACAGCCAGATATTTTGTTAAGATTGATAGAAGATTGAGAAAATGGCAGTTATGAGAACTGAATTTTCTTCAGTTTTACTGGTGATCACGAAGATCTTAACTCAAGAATCCCACTGTACTAATATGGGCATTTACAATTCACTCATTTGTCATCAAGTAGACGCTTCTTTTGCTGTTACTGATAAAACCTGGTTCAATGAATCAATGTATTAAAAAGTTTCCTCTTCATCTGTCTTCATAAATGCCTTTATTCTCCGTACCAGTATGAAGCGCATGTGAATCACTATACATTAGCATCTTCTACTATCTCATCTCCTCACTGTTACCTATCTTTCATTTGTTCTCAACTTCCATCTCTACAGTTTACAATAAAAATCCTGGCCTACACAATACTATCTCCGGTTTCTTGTTATTACGCTGTCGATTTCATGTAGATCTCTTGTGATTTTAATTTTGTGTATAAAGTTCAGTATCCATCCCTAGCTATAATTCTGTCTTCCGTATATTTGGATGGGATGTATAAAACTTAAGGCAATAGAATCTACCACTGGACAATATTGGTACTTACTGATTGCACATTTAAGCAACCAAATCAGTGGTGTAATCTCTTTGAACAACTATGACGCTTTTGTGGTGCTGAACTAATCAGCAGCATATTTGGTTGAATCTAGTTTAGACTAGACTGTTTTCACCACCTCAATCTAATTCTATAGTGTTGAGCTTTTTCTTATCTTATTGACTAATGTTGTAGATTGGTATTTTTAATTTCTGGTTACACTTGTAATGCTGAGGTATTTCGAAAGCTCATGACACGTTTTTACTAGAGATTATAACTTGCTGTTTCAGTCTAGCACTTTCCATCCGACACTAATCAAAATGTTGTTGGTTTGTTTAAATAGTCGTACAATTAGCAAATTTGTGATGTAAGTTATAAAGTATAACGGGTTCATTTAACTGACCAGATCCAGATCGTGATAGAATACTTCAGCTTTCATATGTATAAGAATTGTCCCAATTCTTCTGAACATATAATTTTTGAAGTCATGAAAGATTTTTAGTTTCTGTCTTCCATTTTCACCACATTAAATTTTAATTAGGAAAACTTTATTATTTTACTGTAACGTATAATTTCCCAAACTTCCTGTCAATAATGGCCTACATCAGGTAAGCAGCAAGTTACTTGTTTAACTATGAGTAAACTTGTCAACTAAATCATTTCAATGTTTGATGTAGATAAATTATAATTTCAAAAATCTACTCTTGCTATGGTAACAAGTCAAGGGGAAGTTTAAATAACGGAATACTTGTTTCTACTACTCATATCCACCCCCAATATCACAGTAGATGCATCAATCCACTGACACACGGATATTGTAGCTGCAGTGAAGTGTGGACAAATGAGCGATATATCCTATTTGTTGATAAAAAGTATTTTACGAAAACTTAGTTTGTATTTAGTATGGTTAAAAAAAGTGGGGAAATTATTGTGGTTACATTTCTGCTATTTGTCTCCCACTGGAACTGAGTGAAATTGAAGTCGGCGTACTTCCCGGTACATAGGAACGTTTAACTTATGACGTTAATCACCAAGGTTATTATGATGAGGTAAACCAATCAGAAATAAGAACAATGGCTAGGCTATTGAACCAAAACAAAGGTTATAGATTTAATTTCCAGACGTATTAGAAATGTTGTGGAACGTCCTACAAGGTAGTTTTCATTATAGATTGAAAAATTGTTGTACATATGGAATCATTAGACATCTGTTTCGTCTTCGTTTGAGGTTCCTCAGCAGTGGGTCGTTGGATTCCGACCCAGTGGCTAGTCGGTAGCGTGCTCGCTGTAAGGCCTGACGGTTTTGAGCTCCACTCCTCACGTGGTCGTGGGTACGCACTGCTGAGGAGTCCCAAAGTAAAACGAAACGCCTCCCCGGTTTCCCCAAGATTTCAGCATTTTTGAAGGGGATAGCGGCTTGTTATAACAACTATATTGAAATTGATAAGTCCCTGCAAACCTTTATTTGAGTCCTACTGTTTGTATGTTCAATTAAGTTGGGTTATTTTTCTTAATAACAGTTGAATGTTAACCAAGTATGCCTTTCTGAGTATGACGGTATCAAATAATTAGAAATTTTGTTCTTGTTGTAATGTTTCTCTTAGTGTTTCAAAGTCTAAATTAATCTTGGTGTTTATACATACATTGATACTTCCGTATTAAGAATAAACTGCCATAAAAACAAGCGGTAACTTTGTAAATTCGTTTCTTCTTTGAAATAACTGGCCAGAAACAAGTTGGTGGTGTACTGACTTTTAGGGAGAAAAGGCTAGTAATTTGTTGTTTCTTTCGATCATAATTTGTTTATTCAGTAGTAGATTCTTCTTTAGCACCCTAAACACTCGACTTTCAACCAAATTGTCTCGGGTTCGAACCCATTTTTATCCATATTGACATGAGGCCTTCACGCTAGTTATGGTTCGCAAATTAGTACACAAACCGGTATCCAGTGAATGACTCATGTTACCATTATCGTTGTTATCACCACCCTACTTAAATATTGCTATTCGATAGGTTGACAATTAATGATGAGGAATTCCAAACTAGAATAGAACAGCAGTTCAGTGTTTTCTGGCTCCTAAGAGTCATCTAATTAATTTCTGCATGATGAGAGCTATCCTTAGATTAGGGAAATCATAGTAAGCCACTTAACTAAGTTTGGCATTACAAAAATACCTGAATTATTTGCTTTTACATTATCAGGTGTGAAACTTCTCTAGTTTAGCTAGACATGTGTTATTTTGCTAATTATATGTAATTAGGCATTCAATCTATGAATAACATTTTTATCTTTGATAATTTTGCTATTTTTTTTAGTGTGAAATTCAATCTCTGCTTTTAACCACTTCATAAACACTTATTATTCAACAGAAATCGAACGATAATCATATGATTATCAAAATTATGATATATTTGTTTATGACTCCATTATTATAGTTTATGATTGATGTTTTTTGTGGATTGTATCAGTATAGGAAATGATGGTGACTATAGTGTAGGAAACAGTTAAAAACATTGAATAAAAAATCTATTTTCTTCATAATTTACATCAAAAGTGAATACATAGTTCTGAATATAAGTTATATTTACTGTTTTCATTTTTCGGCTACTGTTATTATGAGTCACTTTTTATGTAGATTTGCATATCTGACAATGTTTTAATTTAACAACCACGTCTCTCATCTCAGCTGATAGTCTTTCATTGAAATAAATAATTCCATACATTCTGCTTATTTACAAAGTCGGTGACTATTAGCATGAACGTTTTAAGGAATTGATGTATATATCCGGGTCGTGGGTGCGTACTGCTGGGGATTGCCATATTAGGATGAAACAACTGACTATTGCTCCCACATTTTTTCAATGGTTCTGATCTGGAGTCATCAGGATGTTTGGAAAGTAAAATTGGCATATCTCTCCAACAACCACAATTTACTTGAATGCATGCATTCTTCCACGTCTCTTATCACTCCTGTGTATTTTTATTCTATGTTCCTCTCTATCCAATTCCTTGTTTTGTAATTCACTCTGTTTTTTATGAGGAAGTCTAACAACTTTGAGTCAAATACTTTTGTGATAGGTTTTACCTTGTTAT